AGAGGGCGGCCGGGGAGCCCCACGGTGCCCATGCACCTCTAGATCCGTTAGAAGACGATCATTGGCTGTTTAAATAGCGACCCTGCACACGGTTCACCTGTTGGCGACATCGTAGTACCATACTCCAACCACCATCCCCAGCTGCTAGTGATACAGTTCGAAGGCGGCAGACACAGCTCTCAGCTGCTCGGTGGTCATCGACTGCGTATGCCGCACGTCGCGAGCATACGCTTCCTCGCCGAGAGACCCCCGATCACGACGTCAGAACCCCTTCACCTCGTCCTACCGCAGAAAACGGAGGAAGCTCTGCGGGGGAACGTAGTCACGTACACGGAGCCCCGTCAGCGACCCCGCGACGTCCACTCGCTCGAAACGCACTTGAAAAATCTCCATAAGCTCAGACATCGCGCTCGAAAGAAGCCCCTTCACCTCTTACGGAGACGCGGGGACGATCGTGCCATAGGTAAGGATGTCGACGGCCGCCCCGCGCCCGGGGACGACGGCCTCTGCTTTTGCTTCTGCTTCTGCTGAGTCTGCTGGGCCCCTTCCTCCCAGCGCCCTTGGTTAATGGACCCGTCGTATTCAGCCAAGATGCCGCTGGAGACCAGGAGAGTGATTGGGCCAACCACCTGGATGCTCATCCGCGGGCGATATGGGTGACCGACGACGCACGAGAAAATGAAGCGCTACGGACCTGTGGTTGAACAAGTGCGAAGATGCCTTTGGTCTGTTCAGATGACGCTGTTCCAGGATTTATGGTGCACTTAGTTGGCGTACGGTGCTGAAAGCCTAATGCTTGACTTCTCGACTCGGACCGAGCTGGTGCGCGTTGGTAAGTAAGTCGCCTCGTGGCCGTCGACTTGACGACAAGCGCCCAAGCGCCTGGTTGCGGACGACGCGCGATCCCCACGCCGCGGCAATACCTGCGACGGGCCTCATGAGGGAAGATATTTTGCCTTCATCTGTGTCTCCGCGCTACTTGACGTCGCATATAATCGCTGCGCAGAACCACGATATGATGAAGCGAGGTCAGAGAGCATGATGATATATTTCGGGGCTACAGGAGCACTACACAGAAAGGCAGCTGGTGTTGGTACGATTGAGTTAACCGCCACTGAATGTCAGAGGGACTGCGCAACCCAACTCGCGCGCCTTGGATCCACGCTTTCATCGACACAAGCCATAAGCGTGCTTCCCGCGGATGAACCCGAACGAACCGTCCTCGAAAAAGCGGGGTTCGTTCGGCCAGTCCTGCGGGCCATCGTCAATGACGTCATCGAGACCGGTGAACTTGGACGGCTGCTTGGGGATGGCGACGATGCCCTTCATCGCGAGCTTCATGTCCTTCTCGCATTCTTGCGCCGCCGACGAAGGCAGGCTTCGCATGAGGTCTTCCGCCGCCTGCGCGAGCGCCTTCAGCTTCTCGATGTCGCGCTGTTGATGGACGGCAGCAGTCGGTGCCAGGTCCTTATGCAGGCGGTCGCAAGTCTTGAACAGAACGCTGCGGTCTCCGACATGAGGAACGACTGCCACACCTGGATAAAAACGCGATAACTCACTTCGTCTGTGTCAACATAGGCGCTATCGTCTCGAACTCGATATGCGTCGCGCCGTTGAGCTTCTTGCGAAGCTGGATCCTCTTCTCGTGCAGGAAATCCCTCATCATCTCGACCGCGAAGACTAGATGTGGGACGGGCCCGAGGAAAGCATGCGATAGTACGCATGCGGCCACTCGACGGTACGCGCGTGCGCGGCGTACTTGTCGAAGATCTGCTGCCACCGCTGGCACGCCTTGATGAGCTTGGGGATGCGCGTGCGCGCAACGTGGCGCGGTACGCGCTCGCGATCGTGTCTGCAGCGGCACGTAGCGGGCGCATTTTCAGATTACGATCGGCTTCAACCAGGGTGTCCGTGATTGACGATGGGGTGATGGGTCCGGTTTGTTGCACGAGGGCGGCAGCGACTCGGAGAAGGATGGGTGGAGGTTCAAGACGATCAAGTCAACGGTGTCGTCTTCGGGATCTTGACGCCAATGTCTTTGAGCCGTGCACGAGAGCGGTGATGCCGGAGATATAGGCTTGGATCGGAAGGGAGGTATCGTGGGTGTAGTGGTAGAGCTGCCGCTTCAACATGATACGGGAATGGCGAGTGTCCGGCTCGTAGACCGCGAGGAGGGCTCTCCATGCTTCAGGACCAGTGGCGCACTCACGGATATGGCCCACCTGAGAATGCTCCACCGAAAGCCCTATCGCCGTCAGCCCTTCCTCCGACTTCTCCAGCCACTCCGCGAGGATCTCCGGGTCCGCATCGTCCGCAGGCCTGGGCTCAGTCCCGTTCATGACGTTCCAGCAGTTGGCGCGTCGAAAGAGCATCTGCATGCTGTACTTCCAGCTGTCGAAGTTATCGTTGTTGAGCTTCGTAATGTTGGCAAGAAGGGCGTTGACATCTCGCGTGTACGAACGTGGCTTGCGCATGACGGGGTCCGAATGTACGAAGGGTAGATGCCGTAGGAGATCTGCAGGTGGGCGTAGGAAGACGGAAAGACTGGATGGTGGTCGGATGCTGCGGCAAACTCTCTTAAAGTTCCCCACGGTGCGAGTCGCGTTCAATCATTGGAAAGGGGCACTTTCCAGCGACGGCGTCGGCAAGCGGGATTTGCATAACTCGCAAGCTAGTCAGAGAGGGAGACAAGGAGGTCCAATTGGTCTATGTCGTGGTCGACGTGGCCCTGCTCAGCGTCGCCCAAATTTGTAAATAGGCGCTCTTCCCACGTGGCACCAACCGCAGCGGCTAGCGACGAGCTCATCGGCATCCTCGTCGCTGTTGACTTCTCCCGAGTCTCCTCATTGACAAAAAAGGAGGAAAAATCTCCCCATATTATCCGTTAGGTATTCCCGTCTAACGAATCCTGCCTATCGCGAGCGCGCCGCGACAGTGCTAGCTGTGCTCGGCCTGACATCGCCGTCGATGCTCCATGTCAAGCGCGAGCTCAAGGGCGACTCCAGTCTCCCCACACTCCTCAAACGTGTTTCTCTCGGAAACCCCTCTTCTACACCTCTAGATTATCTCTTCTGCGCCTCCCGGTCCGTCCCCTCACTCTACCTCCACCTCAAAATCCAGTCTAACCACGACCCTTAGACTACTCCGGACGACGACGTCGAACTGAGGTGAGTACCCCCGTCACTGCATCCGCGAGTCCCGTGAACCAACACAGAGGTTCGCCGAAGGGGTATTCACCGCCCAGTGTCGCTACGTCGTGTAGCGGGCTCTGCTCTTGTCGGATGGTGCATGGTGGTGTTTGCTCACATCACCACGTTCTGTCTCCACCGCATACCCTAAGACTGCCGCACCTGTAGATGTTCCCAGATACCTCGCGAACCAGCGTCCGCGCGGCGGACTCGTCCTCGACCCACCGCAGGGTACCCGGAGTCCTTCCGGGCCTCCCACAGCGGGGCAGCCCACCGCCGTTCGACGTCGTCGTCCTCGCGCGCGAGCCCCGCAGCTACCTCTGTGGGTAGACCCTTGAGCGCCGCACGCGCGCGTCGGGTGTCATTTTCGGCGTATTCGGGCCCCCATGGGGACGGCACCGAGAGGAGGGGTGATGGAACGGTCTCGACGAGTTGCAGTGTGATCGGGCGGAGCCCCGTGGCGCGCCAGTCGTTCACCCATTGGGCGATGATCGATGCGCGGCAGTGAACTGGCGTTGGTGGGAAGTGCAGGATAGTATGAGCGACGTCGGGTTTTTGTGCAGCTCGGGGCCGGTGGGATGGACAGCTGCGAGGAGCTGAAGTCATGCGAGGTGTCCACATTGGAGATCGACCAGTGCAAGCAAGTGTACCTGCTCAATGCGCACGGTGGTTTGTGGCGCGGCGAGAACTGGAGAGAAGAATATGAGCTCTTAGCTAGTCCGGAAGGCCGTCGATCTTCCTCCGCCAGGGAGAATAGTGGTGAGCGCGGGATGCGGAGGCAGTGGTGACCTCGAGGAAGGGAACAGCTGGTCAGTCTCGGTTTCGTGTCCGCACGGGCAGCAGCAGGGGAGTCTTCGCGGGGGCTTCTTCTCACGCAGGGGTGACTGGTTGAGGGGTGATAGCGGAGTCAAACAGGCAGGAGTCGTATTTTCACCCGGACGGCGGAGGTTCACGCATGCGCCAGCCACCGCGCGCGTGCTTGGAAAATGTCCTATTGATCCACATCTGTGTATTTGTCCTAGTGCTAGTCATCGAAGACGTAGGGAACGACCGCTGATATTATCGCAGCCGTCGTTGTTGAGCGAGAGGAGTGGAGTCGGACTCGTGTGAGCCTGGGGAAGGCGCGAGATAGCAGTATCAAGTTGTGTGGTGAGTGGGCTTGAATGGGATGTCTGGGTCTTTGAGGGGGACCTGGTCTCAGGTCAGGGCGTGGTGGAAGGGAAAACGACAGGTCACGGGATCCAGCAAAATGGCGCCAATGGGACCGGCCCGAGTCGGACCCGGCGAGACGGCGTCTGCGTCCCTCGGCCTCCATCTCCCGCGCGAGCCCTTGCTTCCTCCTCCATGGACCTCTTCCTCCACCTCTTGTCTACGACATCCACGCTCTCTATGACCTACCACTTCTGAAGCTGAGAGAGGCGATACGCGCGCACGGGATGGAGATGAACAGAAGGAATTGGTCGAAAGTTGGAGAAGGTTGGTTGAGGGTGGGCGCGGGGTTCAGCCCCCAAGCGACGAGTCCGAATGGTCAGTACTCCCTCGTTGTTCTTGTGCGACCATTTCCCCCTCCTCTGGATGTCCATGCAATCCTCTCTTGGCACCTACATGCCGCTATTGGGAGGGGAACATGGTCGGAAACTTGGGATGGCGCCTCCCCCTCCGCTGGCATTGTGCGGCTCCACGGCTCCGCTCTCAAACTGGGGGTTGGAGACAGCGTGAGCGAGTGCACAGCACGTACATCCGGACTCCTTCCCCCGTCCCTCGCCGCACTTGTGGCTATACGCTGATCTTAACCGTACGTCGCGCGACGCTGCAGGAGCCGCTGCTTGTCGCACTCAAGTCCATGCAGCTCGTTCACCTTCCCGCGGTCGGACATGCTTCCAACACAGCCCAGGTGGACTAGTGGTGCGCGCGCGCACTGCCGCTGTGCATCGGAGCTGGGGCTGCCTGTCGTTCCGTGTCCTTGCGCTCTGCGTCTTCGGGCCCGGATCCGCCGACTCCGATACCAAACCGCGGGAGCATGAAGGATCGGGATCTGCGGTGGTGGATTGAGAAGGGGTCGCAGGCGTGGAGCGCAGCACGGATCTAGGGTGATAGTAAGTGCTCTCGCTACTTGTTACGCGAATGCCCTGTACCGACTCTGGACGTTCACGGAATCTTGTCCCGTCGGTTGATATCGGCTACACAACGTTTGCCATTCCGTTCCCCTAGTCGGTCTCCGTTGGTGACAGAACAATATCCATGCTCGATTCGTTCCACTACTAGTCTACGTCAAACCAGTGTCGAGCCGGAGGTGCTCGGCGGAGTGCTGTACGGTGTCCTCGCCTGCTTTCCGAGGCAAAACCGGCTCCTCTGCACCGAAGCCCCGCTGAACACCCAACGCAGCTGCTCTGGCTTCCAGCGCGGCTGTTGCAGGCGATCCGCTGGAGATGCCCTCGGCACTAGACCGGTGGCGAGTTGGCGGGCTTCATGCGGACAGAGGAGCTATGGATGGGCGTCACGCGGGCGCACCACGACGATTGGAACAACCGGACCATGAGGCGCAAGAAGTCGCCGGTGGCGACGGAGCCAAACCTTCACCGCCAAAACTCCGAGTACGTTTTCTCTAGCCCGTTGTGTGCTCATGCGTTCCGCTAGGCTTTTCCGCATGCATAAACTGCTGTGCAACGGGTGACATCCTGAGCGGCATGCAGCCTCATGGTCCGGTTTACATCGGCGAGAAGATGTCATCGGATCTGCGTCTTGAAAACTGCTGGCAGGTGCTTCATTAATAGCTACAAGTGCGTCTCTCTCACACTGAGTCTATTCCCCTGTGCATTCACATTTCCTCCCTCACAGCAACATGTCAACCGAAGACCTCGCCAACACTGACCTCACCGCACAACGATACAAGAATTCAAGAACTGTATGTTCGCTCTGCTGTCATGAAGCGTATTCTCATGTTGATCCTCAGGTACATCGGCAACTACGTGGGTCTCGCAGCAGCTGGTTAGCGTTTTTCGATCGCGTCTGTTCGCATAGACTATACTGGTTCTGACTTCTCCAAGTCATCATCATCTTCGACTACTTCCTCACGCTGGGCCGAGAAGTCGTTTGTTCTGGAATCGGCGCATCTCGGGCGCGACAGTACTTTTCATCAGCAACCGCTATCTCTCTCTATTGTATCAAATCCTGGTGCTGCTTGGATATCACCCGTTCACCGACGAGGTATGTAATCGTCGGTGTTGTTTGTTGGAATTAATCACTGACTTTCTCATGATTTATAGACGTCAGTTCCATGGACAATTTTACAGTTGTCCAGTTCTCACATCCGTGCACGACAGGTGCAGCATCCTCAATCGCGCCGTGTATTCCTTTGAATACATACCGTTGATTCCTCCTCTGGTGTGTACAGTCAGCCTATGCACTGTGGGCGTGATAACGAGTAGTATCATCCAGCGTTCTCTGCGATGCGCGCGTTGGCTTTGAGCCAAAACCGCGCGCTCGCGTTCCTGGTGCTGATCTTTTCTGTTGCGAACGTGGGCTTCGACTTTGTGCGTATCTCCCGAGAATCATCAAGATACACGGCTCATGACGTCTTTTATCTTACAACCAGGGTACGCTTCAATATTGGACATGGAGCACCAGCGATCCGATTTGGGGATGTATCGTAGACAACCGTCCAATCCCAGAGTCTTTTTTGATAGCGTGAGTGTTCCCAAGGAGTACGGTTGTGGCATTCGCTGACACCGCCGTTCATGCAGTGGTACGTGTTGTCAAGCTTATCAGTCGCACATGCAACGCAACAGCATTTGATATGACCTTCTTCAGATTCCGTGCTTTCTCGATCACTTCTGATCCTGGCAGACGGCATCCTCATCTTCCTGACATGGAAAACGCTGCGCTCCTCGGGCTCCTCGACAACTCACAACAATGCGGCGGATTATCCACGAAGTTCGCCCATGTCATGCTACATAACGGTGCGCTATGTCACTGATCCGACGAAGTTCTGAACTCTGACTCGTTCACAGGAACAATATATTCGTGTAAGTCTTGTGGCGCTACCCTCGGACTCCCGTCCAATTATTTCTTCGCACAGTGTGTTCCTCCTCCTCAACGTCCTCCGCATGGCAACCACATTGAGCGCGGTACGCAACACACGCCGCGCGCCATCCGTGCCTTTCTGATTGATACGTCCCAGACCATATCTCCCAACCAGTCATCTCTAATCACTGCATTCAGCGACCCGTAGTCCGTCCTGCGACATTTCCGGTGTAGGCTCACACTCACGTTATCGTTCCAGCCTCACTGCGATCCTTGTCTCGCGCTTCCTCCTCGACCTCCAGGAGTCCCATCAGCGCACCGTCAAGCTCGGCTCCGACGACCCGCTCCACTCGTCTGCCTCCGACTTCCAGGCCGGAATCGGCTCCCTGCAGTTTGCGGTCGATGTCATGGGATCCATAAGGGCGGATATAAGGCCTTTGGGAGATGAAGACGACTCAGAGGAAGAGTCAGAGGAAGGCTGCCCCGAGCCAGACGATTCCCCGGTCAGGGAAGAAGCCGCGTGTGGTAGGCTCCAGAGTGAGGGCTACGATGTGCCATGTCCAACTTGATCTCGGGGAGAGTGGTGCGTACGCAAGTTCTACTTCCAGAGGTGCGCGCACTAACATGAACAAAGTTGGCGGGTCACAGAACGTGTGCAGATACCTCGCTCCGCTGAGCGTCGGCTACTTGCATACAAAGACATGGACCTGTACGCGCGCTACCGTTCATAATAGTGGTAATTGACTGAGAAGAAACCCACAAAAACCAGGTCTGGTTAGCATCCGCGCGAACAGCCCTCGCGCGAGGAACGCTCATCGTCGATGCTCCTCTCGTTGAAATCCGCTCGTTGGATGATCTCGCGCCCCCGCTCCCCATCCTCCCGCCAGATCTCCACCGGCGTCCGCGCCGCGCCCTCGCCCTCGACTCACCACCACCCTCCTTCCGGAACCGCCGCAGCGCTGGGCGGACGCATACGCTCGTCGGCTCCCACAGCCGCTCGACGTCGTCCTCCCGCGCGAGCCCCGCCGCGAGCTCTGGGGGCAAGTCCCGCGCGCTCAGCCCCCGCTCGCTTTCGCGCGCGTTGTCCCAGGCGGTCGTCCCGGGGCGGCAGGAGCGGAGCGCGAGGATGCGGAGCGACGGGAACGCGCGCGCGCGAGCGTCGGTGGGAGCGCGAAGAGCGCGAAGAGCTGGCGGAGCTCCGCCTCGCACAGGCGGTCGACCGTCGCAATGTGCATCGCCGTGGACCACCCTGGGGACGCGGGCGGGAAGTGGAAGGTGAGGTGGACGAGCAGCGTGGACTGCAGCGCGGCGAGGAGCGGCCCACGTATCGGCGTGCGACGCGGTGCTGAGGATCAGCGTCGCGGAAGCACTGGCACCGGGTGGGCGAGCGGACGCACCATGTAGTCGCGCACGTTGGCTGGGCCAGCACGCTCGTAGACGGTCATCTTCGCAATACAGCAGGAGTGAAAGTGAGACAAGATTCAGGCACAGCGCTGCGTTGATGCGATGCGAACCGTGGCAGGTGCGCCAGAAGGGTTGTGCGAGGGGATCGCCTGCCAGGCCATCGAGCTTTTACGGCGGGGAGCCGACCCGAAGCGGAGAGGGGAGAGAGAGCGCGCGACGAATGAAGGCGAGGGAAATTCCGGCGCGAGAAGGGCCGGTACATGTTGGGTGAGGCAAGAGACGATGTGGAGAGCAGGCGGAAGGCTGAAGTGCGGAAGGCGGAGGCGACGGATTGACTGGTTGACTTGATGAGTAGCACGCGCACGGAGCGGAGCAACAGGGCTGTGGTTAGACACTGAGAACTGCTAGTATAAATACATGAGTGCGCGCGAGTCGTAGCAACGAGGTCCGCGCGGGAAGAGGACGGGGATGTCGACGGGAGACATAAATGGAAGGTTTTTACGAAGAGAGAGAGAGTACCGTAGAAGTCGCGCGGCGGCCACGTGGTCACGAGAGGTGGTAGCGAGGCAAGAGGCGGGGTGGTTGGTAGCACGAAGAACGTATCGAGGAGGCTGGAACACCATATAACTGAGACAGACGGCTCGGGAACGGGGCAGGGCGGTAGATGTGGGGCGACAAGAAGTCCGGAAAGGTATACAAAGAAAATTGGAATGCGGGGAGGCGAGGTAGGAGAGCTAGTATGTGTGGGGGAAAGGTGTACTTTAATTGGCAGTCGGTGAGGATACTTGCAGGTCGGGCTCTGCGCGCATGCGGCAACGCGGCGGCGTCGATTCGGCCTGACATGGGGTGCGCTCGGGTGCTAGCGGTCAGAGACGATGAGTGGGTGTGTCGGCGATGGAGTGGTACGGGTGTGTTGGTGGCGAAGTGGTCGGGCCGGTCCGCAGACTGGTGGAGGCGCGGTTGTAGCTGGGTCGTTTGGTACGGGGGGCGCCGCGCGGAATGCGAATCAACGTGAGATGGTAGATGGTGTACTCCAGCATACCGCTCCGCTTTTTAGTGGGTAAACACTGTGAGTCGTTGCCCAAAAACCCGCAAGCGCATCAGGTCCATTGCTTCACTGCTTAAAGGAGAAGCGAACGGACCTTTCGCAAATTCCAGCTTTCCAGAAGATTTCTCAGCTACTCTGCGTTTTCTGCGTCCTCCGTCCTGAGTACTCTGTCAGGTTCGTAGTTGTCTTCTACCCGTGAGGTGTGGGTTTCGTCCAAGCTCCGGAGATCCGCCCCGATGGATCCCATGGCGTCAACCGCGAATTGCAGGGATCCGATGCCGACCTGGAATTCGGAGGCAGACGAGTGGAGTGGGTCATCTGTGCCGAGCTTGACTGTCCGCTGATGAGCCTCCTGTAGGTCAAGCAGAAATCGCGAGACGAGGATCGTAGTAATACTGGCATGAAGAATATCGGAATGTGCCGGTACTAGTAGAAACACTGCAGCTTATACTTACGGATCGTTGAATGCACTAATCAAGGAGTCTTGACCAGGGGTTACTATGATCTGGTACTCGTCGGATTAGAGATGAATGGACGGGACACTGCATACTATATTGCCTACCCCTCTCAAAGTGGTTGCCATGCGGAGAGTGTTGATAATGAGAAAAACACTGTGCAATAAAATACACATTGGACACGATTTCGAAGATATTTTGGACGACGTACACGAAATACATGGCTCCTGTGAACGAGTTATGACTCAGCATGTTGGCAGCGAGAGAAATTGACGTACCGTTGCGTAGCATGATGTCGTTTAACGTTCGTGGAGAACCAGTCTTCAGTTTCATTTCAGAAGAGCGTGCGTTTTTCCAGGTCAGAAAGATAACGATTCCATCTGCGAGGATCAGCAGTGACCGAGAAAGTACCTCCCCTGAAGCAGACCAGACCAAACGCTGTAGTTGAATATGAAACTGCTAATAAATCCAGGTGTACGTACCGCTGTGTTATCGGAGGTATTAGAAATCACGCCCACCGCACTTCGAGAGAATACTCACGTTATCAGGACCGGCGTAGGGATTGAAAGGAACACCACGAGGCAGCCCCAAGTCGGATCACTGAAACTCTGCCTATGATATTGAGGAACACCCTGCTTGTAAGAGCAATGTTACGAGACGTTTCTATTAACAAACAAAGAGTTGACACGCACAAAGTCGAAGCCCACATTCACAATGGAAAATACCAGCACCAGCACTGCAAGTGGGCGACTTTGACTCAGCGCTAATGCGCGCATCGCGGAGAATGCTAGCGGATACTACTCGTCATTACTATCAAGCGATAGGCAGTGTCATACAAACCTGCAGGAGGAATGGGCTGTATGAATTCCAAGACCGAAATGGTGTTGTCCAGTGTGGTGCAGCTGTTGTACACGTACTTGAGCTCAATGAAGTTAAGAACATCATACATTAAACTGACGTCTTGAAAGCACGGGAAAGTGAGTGTCGAGACCTAAGGAAAATAGATGAATACACACCTGGTTAGTAAATGGGCGCAAACTAAGGGACGAAAAAATCCGGAGAATAAGGGCAAGGTAGCGATTCAAGATGAATAGTACTGTTGGGCCGGACACGCGCCGGTTCCAGAAGAAATTGACCTCTCGGCCGAATGTTAGGAGATGGTCGAAAATGAGGATGACTTTTAAATGTAAACCTCTTTCCATAGCTCATATGCACAGAGTACTGACCAGATGCTGCAGCCAACACGTATTCATCGGTGTAACTATGTGATCATGCCAACGAGGTAATGAGAAGTACTTTCATTTCTGGAGAATGGGACATACCCCGCTTGATATTCTTCTATCACTTGCGAAATTTGGTCACCGAGGTCTTCTGTTGACATTGTGCTGTGGGGAGAGTGTGGTGTAGATGGTGTAGATCTCCTTTTTATACGAGGCCTTGTGGGGCCACACACAAACACCGCGACAAGTTGCCATGAATACCTCAGGATACGCCGTACATGCGTCCATGCGTGCGGGCTGCTGCAATATCGTCGCTGGTGGTGGTATAGGTGGAGCTATCTGTCAGCGTGAGGCTGTACTGGTGCAACTTCGACTCAGGAATCGGGTAGTGAGACCACCGCTGTGTTCATCTGAAAGCTGTAACCGAGCACGAAGCGCGTCGGTGCCAGTTCGGAATGGGAACATCATCGGAGCTTCGTATCGACCACCTGAGCTCATATTCTGTACAGATCACTGACTCTTCGCTAATGCGCATTCAGTCGATACAGTCGATACAAATTGCCCCACCCGCTTTATAAACGATATCACAGCGCGTGACACGGCGAGAGACGAGGGCCAGTCTCCGCAGAGAAACGAAGTCACGGCTCTGTGGACCCTGCTCAGTAGTCGCCAGTTCGCGTGGTGTCATCGCGGCTGTCAGCCGAACTGTCCTCCCTCTCGGATCTTCCTCTCAAGCGAGGGTTCACCGGAACCCGAAGTCGTCGAAGTCATAGAATCACGCACACCCTCGTCCTCGATCGCAGAAGCTCATCGCGAACCACATCCAGTCCACGCACCACTCAAGGCATCCATCTGTGGCGTCAAGGCCCAGGGAGACGCTCTCGAATCACCGCGCAAGTGGGCTCCATGGTATCGGAAGCCGGTCGAGCACGCGGTGTCCGCGGCGAAGCACTGCCACGCGACATGTCCCGCTCGCGCACGAGCAGATGGAGGTGGGGTCCGAAATCAGCCTAAGAAAGCTGTATACACGCGGTGACACGTCCGCCGCGTCGATCAGCCGAGTCGCCTGGGGACTGCAACTCAAGTCAGCACTGCATCCTGATCGCACCTATCTGAAGGCTCACCGGATTGTGGAAGCAGATGCGTAGCTCATGGACGTATCTTTCGCGTACGTGGCCTGCATCAGACTCGAGTCTCGCATTGTGCAAACGCGCGGCAGGCCCGAAAGCCTACTCGCTGACCGGCTCGGCTCAGCAAACCTTGTGTCGCGGACGAGAGAGATGCGCAGATTTCGAGGAACCTGCCACTGCACACACTGCCAGGATTGGTACACTATTCGCGCGAGAAGTAATGAGTGTACTCACCAGTCGGCGTCGTCGTCGTCGTCGTCGTCGTCGTCGTGTCAAATGCCCACCCTTGACGGCCTCACGTGCGGTGTCCGTCGTCCCTCCAGCTCTCCACCGCGCTCCGCACATGCGCTCCCGTCTCGTCCCCCGACGACGCACAGCTATTGCCACCCGAGACGTCGTCGCAGTCGAGCGCCTGCGCGGGGGTGCATGACGTTACGCGCAAACTCAGCGGGGAAGAGCGATGTGGCGAACCACGGCCATTCACCGCCCGTCGCGGTGGGAGGGTAGCGCGGCAAAGATGGGTGCTAGATGTGATTCAGAAACGGATGAGATGAGGACACGGCGATGCTTGATGATGACATCGGAGAAGCGCAGCTGCTGCGTTGGGAGCGTACAGCCGGAGTCTCTTGTGGTCTTCCTCGAGTTCCCTTTTGGAGGGACACCACATGCTGAAATTGTGTCTGTGCCGGCTAGACGGCCTGCTGGAAAGGAACTCAGACATAAGCTCTGCCTCGCCTCTCACTGGGCCACAACCCGTACGTTCTGACTGATTGGTAAGAAGTATCAGCAGATCGAAGCGGCCCGTGGGCCAGAGCGCCTCCGGTGGCACGATGGCGTTCGAGCCGCGCACGAACGCACGGAGGGAATGCTACCGCGTGGTGTCGAGGACGAAAAGCTTTTGATGTAGAGCGGGGAGAAGTAAGCACAGAGATGCACGATGTGACCTCCGGGGCTCTCTGATCTTCCGCCACGAAGCGTTGAGGAACACGCCCGCAGACCCCCACCGACTTGGGATCTCGTCCTCGCCCTCGAGCTCCACGACCAGCGCCATGCGCGCGTCCAACAGCTCCAGGCAGCCCGTGCACGTCGAAGGTGGTGGGCGCGAGCCGGCGTAGTGAGAGCGAGACGACGGGGAGCGACGGTACGGGTCGAACGGGCCGCACCGAAAGTGCGCGCGGCCACGACGGGAGAGTCACCGACTGGATGTATGATGGGCGCACGGCCGAGGGCGCGGGGGGCGAGTGAAGGTGAGCGAGCTGCGTAGACTCGCACGGAAGCAGGGGATGCAGAGAGGAGTCGGAACATGAACACGCCATGCATCGCGTACGTTCCAGTTTCTGTTTCAAATAGGAAAGCACCAATTTCGCCGTCCTTCTCAGTCGACCTGGTCCAAACCCGTGCGTGAGCCCCTTCCCTCCTCGGCGCTCGCACATTCGTCCAATCGGTACCCCTTCCCTTCATATCCAGCCGACTTTCCATCGCCCACAGTTCGTTCTTGTGACCAAATGCTCGAGGAAATGGAGTGGGTGTTCATACAACAAGCGACACGAAGACGAAACAAATGCGTCCACGCACTGGCTCGAAGAAACCCGCCAACGCCCAGATTGGGGAACGCACAAGGAGAGGCTCACCATCCAGCGTGGTCGCCTGGTCGAAGCCCGCAATTTGGACCAACGCGAGTGCCCGTTCGCCGTCCCCTCTCCAGAACCGACTTGTGCCCGCTCCTCTACCCACTACCCCCGCCGATCCGGCCTCGTGCTCCCGCATCCTGGGTCTTGCAAACGTCACTGCGGTGGTCTGTAAGTCGAGCGGCAGGTACCATGAGGAAAGGACCGGGGCATGGCGAAACGGCGGCTTCTGAAGGCGGCGAAGGCTTGTTTCGGGGACACAGGTATTGTTGAACCGGGCCATCCACCCCTAAAGCTGGGGGACGATATGAGACGGCGTAACAAACGAGCGCAAGGACACCCACCGGAGGAAGCCTCCATTCAACACGGGTACACTGCGAGCCTGTTGGAGCCTTGCGAGGAGGTTGTTACGCCTCTGCATATACATCGACAACTCGAGCTTGAAGCCGTGCAGTGCAACTTGAATGCGAGAGCTGAGCAGTTGTCCGTTTAAAAGGGTTGGATTGCTGGGGAAACGCAGGGCGTGCAAGGTCGGAGAAGAAGATGCATGGCGGAGATGAGGAAGGGGAGAATACGCGTAGACGCCGATCCAGCTCTCCCGTCGCCCGGGCGACTCCCGGCTCTCGAGACTCGCTTGCGGCGGCCTGCGTACGATGCACTCGTCCCCCTTTTCCTCCCTGCTCCCGGCCACCCCTGCCTCTGCCTGCGGCAGCTAGACACAGACAGCTCACCGGAACTCCCTCCATAAGTAATCAAGTTTCCGTCTCGAAGGCCCATCCCGGACGAGCTGTGAGTCCGCGCCTCGAAGATGAGCTCCCTCTCCCTTCTCTCTCTCCACAACGAGATCCTTCTCGAGATATTGTCCCTCCTGGGCCGCGACGATGCACTCGCGATCTCTTCCACGCACCAGAGCCACTCTCACAAGTCCCCCGCGTCCAGCACCTCCGACATTTCACCCTCCACCACTTTCTCAGCGTCGATGTTCCTCCTCTACGCAAACTCCTCAGCCAGGCCTCCAACCTCCGCATTATTGAGATCCACAGCTTCGAGTTGTTCGTACGCCAAGCCGGACTCCTCGTAGATGCTATCGGCGCCATGCACAACCTCGAGCAAGCCAGTCTGATAGATGTCGGTCCTGAGACGGTGGCTGCTCTGCCGGAGATCCTCTCGAGCCGGTACTTGACCTCATTGACCCTTGAATTCGACGAGATGTACTTTGGGCCTGGTGGCATCGACCTCGAGGATCTCGTGTCCGGCCTCGCCTCCATGCAGAACCTACACACCCTCACCCTCATCTCGTACCTCGTGTCTACGAATTCCCTCCGACTGCCTGATGCAACACAAACCGTCCTTCCCTCCATTCGCCACCTTTCCTTCTGCTGCCTTTCTCAGATCCCCCCTGGTATCATCCCCCTGTGTCCAAACACCATCACCTTGTCTCTTCGTCTGAATGCGCAGGGGCAGCGCCCCGTGATCCTTTCCATAGCAGACGAAGACCGATGGCCCACCGAACTCAAGCGGCTCGACGTCCTCTCCCCCGTCTTCATCCCAGCTGCGAGGCGCATCGGGCACGTCGGATCGTTGGCATTGGGGGAGGGCACGCCGGTATCCAGCCCAGAGGTCTTCTCCGACCTCTTCCAGCTTCCGTTGGCCGTCCGGCCCACCGCCCTCGAACTCCACACGACACCCACGATTGCGGTCTCACGTCGTGTCTGGGAAACACTGTGCGATGTTGCGCCCGGGCTGCGCTCGCTCGAGATCGTGGTCACGTCGGGCGAGTGCGACGTGCGCGAATACATGGTCCGTCACGCCCCCGCCGCATCTTCCCCTTGCTCCTTTCCCCTGAACGCTGAGGACCCTCGCGCCTCACTCAGGAGCCGCTCCTCGCCGCACTGCGATCCGCCTCCCTAGCGCTCGTCCACTTTTCCCTCCACTTCCCGCCGACCACACAACGCCATCACGCGTCGAGCATAGCCCAAGTGGACGGCTGGCGCGCGGCGGAAGTCCGCCGCGTCGAAGCGCTCCGGCCGCTCTCTCTGCGGCTCGTCAAGGCTGTCCCGACGTTCCGCGTCCTCTCGTGCTCCTCCTGTCTCCCCGGATCCACAGGCTTCGACACATGGCGGGCGCGGGCGCGGCACACGGACCTCGACGCGGGGGTGAGGGCGGAGCTCGCGCGCGAGAACGTCGTCGAGCGGCGGTGGGGGCCGGCGAGCGAGTTCGTGAGCCCCGCGCTGCGGAGGCTGAAGGAATTGTGGACGGAGATCCCGCGCGACGAGCGGTGGTGGTGGGTCGAGGGCGACGGCGCGGCTAGCAGACCGGTGGAGGTCTGGAGGGAGGCCGGGGAGCAGGCGCGCGAACACGCGAACTTTGACCCTACGAGCAGCCTCGATGGTGAGCGTTTCATCGCGCTCGAGGGGTCCGTCGTGCACGCGGGAACTGGTCCGTTCTGTCTGCAGGGTTTTATTCCGCGAAATGCTGGTATGAGCGGTAGCTCGCCGTATAGACGTATGGAATGCACACCAGCTAGAGGTGGATGTGCGGTATGCACCTCAAACCAAAACGTGGCAAGCAGCTCCTCAGGTGCGCCGTCGCGCGACATATCACGTTTCGCGCTCCGACTTTGATTACGACTTGGAGGGAGCGGCGCGGCGGCGAGGACAGAGGGATTGGAAGAACTGTAAGCTCTCCCAGAGACACGAGTCCCAGATATCGTTTCTTCCTGATCCCGGCCGGGCACGGACCATACGTCCGCACCTTCATGCAACGCGCCCGCCGCCTATGCACCCTTCTCCGCATTTTGACCGCATCCCGCGCCCCGCACGTCCTGTGGAGCCATCCTCGGCGCCGAGGGAACCTGTGCACACGTACCGTCTCTCTCATGTAGACCGGTACGATCCCCGGCCCGGACGACTTGCACGACACCCTCCCACTTCCCAACTCACCGGCCACGAACGTCACGCGTGTCCAGACATGCCCCGCTCAGAGCATGTCTGGGACACCCTCTTCTCCCCTGCGTTCCGTCTCTGCTCTCTAGAGATAGTGACATAAAGCGGGTGCGGCGCGCGCGGATATACGGTCCGTCCCCTCCTCGTCCCTAATTTTTCCGCTGCTCTGTACGACCTTCTGCAGCACCAGGAACCCTTGCTCGCCGCACCCCGGTCGGCGTCCAAGCTCGTCCGTCTCTGCATGTGGTAGCGAGGAGAAGCCGTGGGACGATGACGATGCCCGGGTCGTAGAATGAGCCCAGTACATATTGGAGTGTAGATGTGGAGCGTATCAGATATCCCAGCTGCATGGCTGCGCTGAGCGGAATGGATGTCCTCACCGCTGAAACGTGAGAGGCCCGCGTCGCTGCTCGACGAGGAGGAGGACCAAGAACCACGCGCCGTGTCGGTGCGCCAGGTGACCACACGGTGCCACAGGTTCTCGGCGATGTGGCCCGTGAGGATGGAACTATGATAAATCGCGATGCAAGGTGGAGAGACGCTACTCATCCCTACCGGTGCTAGGAGGAGCAGACGCCGTAGGAGAGCCTGTTATCAAGGGCATTGAAGAGAAGAAAGTGACTGAGGAGAACTATTGCTCTCTAATACGCGATCAGCAACGCTGAGAAGAGGGATCCTTGTAGTGGGAAGAGGAGATGTTAAAGATTTGCTCGAGAACTGGGGATGAGATTGTTGAACTGGATGGAGAAGGTTGTGAATCTGAAGTAAAAATCAGGCCTGAAGATTGCTCTTAATACTCACCAGTTGTGTATCTCCTCCAGTCATCCTCTCGGGCGCGGCCGCTGTGGAGCGGTGGCAGGCACCCCGCCTAGCCCAGATTACAGGTCCATACTTACTTATCTCCGAACAAGAACGGAGTGACGAAGGTGAGAAGGCACACCGAATCTGGAGCGGGCTCTCGGACTGGCAGCACCAGGCGATAGGCGTTCCGAAAAAAACCCGGTCGGCGCTGATGAGCCGCAGTCCAGAGGTGAGTACTTGAGTCTCGGATTCACGCTCCGCCCAGGAAAGACCGACGCACAGAAAGTGGAGGGCCGATTGAGAATCGAACTCGCGACTAACTGACAAGCGCCGATTCAATATTCGCGCGCGACCGAACGATTTGGTTGTCGTGGGCTGCTCCGCGTGCTCGTCACTCCTCCTCCTCCTCCACACGCCTGACTGGTGACGTATTTTACACAAACAACGTCCATTCCCTATTGACCCGGGCTGCGGTTGTGGTGAAGCGAACGTACCCGCTGAGGACTTCCCACATAATGCCTGATACTCGATGTTCAAGCCAGTTCAGAATGCATATCCTCGCAGGAGGATGCCGTTCGCCAGCAGCCGAAACGGAGGCGCAGCTTGAGGACCCACTTGCTCTAGCGTGTGGGAACGTTTTTGTATACCGGTCGGATGTCGCGTGTACCGCAAATATCGGGGTTTGAGTGGACTGTCGGTGTTGAAAGTGGATCATCCTCTCAGTGTACGTTCTCTCGCCGGACTGGCATTGGTTCTCACTTACGACACATCACAGGATAAGGGTACATTTGACAGCAGTCAATGGAGTATATAAAGGTTGAGGATGCCCCCGCTGCCCCGCAGACTCCGAGCATCGACCCGCTTCCACGAGCCGACTCTCCCATTCATCCCGCACACCATGGCCAGTGTATACGCCCCCGCCCCTGAACCTGCGACAAGACTCGGTCGGTACCGCCAACTCTCGCCCCTCGCCTGCGTGCGCGTGTCGCCCATCTGCCTCGGCGGCATGAGCATCGGCGACAAGTGGGGGAAGGTCTTCGGGAGCTACATGGACAAGGACATGAGCTTCGCTCTCCTCGACACCTTCTACGGCGCCGGGGGCAACTTCATCGACACCGCGAACAACTACCAGGACGAGAGCTCGGAGGAGTTCATCGGCGAGTGGATGGAGGCGCGCGGCATACGCGACCAGATCGTCCTCGCGACAAAGGTGCGTTGGGGGTCGCGTGCACATCGTTATCACGGCTGATGGACGTTGCGTCACAGTACACGTCCAACTTCAAGAGGGGGCAAGACGACGTTGTACAGAAGATCAATTACATCGGTAACAACAGGAAGTCGATGCATCTCTCCGTGAATGCTTCGCTCAAGAAGCTCCGCACGAGCTACGTCGACATCCTTTACGTCCACTTCGTGAGTCGCTCACGCTCCTGGACTCGGCACTTTATGACGGCTCGTGCTAGTGGGACTGGGACAGCTCAGTTGAAGAGGTCATGAACGGTCTCCATACCCTCGTTGAGAATGAGAAGGTCCTGTACCTGGTGCGTGCACCATACCGCTGTTCTGTCGCGCGCCAACACTCTCCCCCAGGGTGTCTCCGACACGCCTGCCTGGGTCGTCTCGAAGGCGAACCAGTACGCGCGCATGGCGGGCAAGACGCCGTTCTGCATTTACCAGGGCTCATGGAGCATCATGGACCGCGACCTCGAGCGCGACATCCTGCCTATGTGCAGGGCCGAAGGTCAGCGCTTGAATGCCTCATAAGTACTTACCCCGTCCGACTGCTGATAGATCCGTCATGCAGGACTGGCCATCGCTCCCTTCCGCGTCGTCGGGGGCGGCAAGATCCGCACCGACGCCGAAGAGAAACGGCGCGAAGAGTCCGGCGAGAAAGGCACGCGTCCAACCGCTCATCTCTCTCGCCTCGTCATGCTCACGTCCCTGCGCAGGCCGCGCCGCCTTCAGCTCCTGGCTCCGCACCGAGGACGAGCGCCGCGTCTGCACGGCGCTCGAGGAGATCGCTCCCAAGGTCGGCGCGAAGACGATCCAGGCCGTCGCGATCGCGTACGTGATGCAGAAGGCGCCGCACGTCTTCCCGATCGTCGGCGGGCGCAAGCCCGAGCAGCTCCTCGCGAACCTCGCCGCGCTCGACATCGCGCTGTCCCCGGAGCACATCAAGGAGCTCGACGCGGTCGCGCAGTTCAAGCCTGGATTCCCGTACACGATCATTGTCAGTCGCGCTTATGTTTTTGTGGCCAGGCCCGGATCGGCTGATACGGTTCATTGCAGGGAAACGGCGAAGAGTACGATATGCTGACGAAGAACGCTGCTGTGGTGGACAGGTGGCCGCACAAGCAAGCCATCCGCCCTACTTGAGAGGTGGCATGTATGAGTCGCATGCTCAGCGAGAAAGATGCGCCCGGTCCAGAAAGCGCGTCCGATTGGACTTTAGTAGATATCACTTGCGACGATGGGGTCCGAAGACCTAAGCACCTCGGAATTCGACACCATAGTCGAGTGGTTGTTGCTAGCCGTCGCAACACTCGGTTGGCTATCCTTGTGACAACGGTTCCGGGAACATGTCTTCAGAGATCGTCCGGCAAGAGGGCTTGCTTTTCCCCGTCGGGGATGAAGCTGTCGACCAGGAGATCGGGACTGCGTAGTACCGTCAGCGCTTCAGCATCTACAAACACCCCGACCGGAGAGCCGCCTTGCAAACACTGATATCTGCCTTACTCCAAGGGACGTAGCAGAGCCACAGACTCGAAGAGGGGATCGGTACCGTAGCTGCGGCTGTGAGCAAGGGCGTCCGTTAGTTGCAATGCAACCGCTGGTCCAGTGACGTCATACCTTCCGCAATGCCGCCCAACCGAAGCTGTCCCCACGCAAACAGTGAAAGAGCGGATACGATTGCACCCAACGGCTATGAACTACAAACGATGGTGGTGGTGAGCGCATAATAAGTAATTCATAGATACAGCAGACGTAGCGTCGTGAAGGGCCCCAGGCCCGTCATACCAGTCGCAATCCGTGGATCGTGCCCATCCGAAACCATACTGATAATGTCGTGCTGGTGCACTGGGCAGCGAGGGATGATATCCTTGTGTGGTCGTGGAGGTGAGGGGAGGAAATGGAGCGAGTGGGCCTCAGTGCTCAGTACTCAGTCCAAGAACTCGGACGAGTGCAGCAGGTACCGGTACCCGTGCCATCACGCGCGAGATGTGCCGCGGGAAGACCACCGCGTCCTCGGCGACGGCGCGCTTCTTGAGCTTGCACCGGCTCTTCGACGAGCCCGTGGTGACGTGGAGGAGCCAGACGGGGTCTTCGTGCCCGTCACGCTTGGTGGAGGTCGCGCCGCTCACAAAAGGGAGGGTCGAGGCGCAAGTGATCGCGACGCCGGTGCCGTCGAATGTCCCAACGAGGTTCGAGAGTGCGCCGCATGGGATGTCGTCGTTATGGAAGACTGTCAGGTCAAAGATGCAGGTAGCAGCGCCGTTCGGAGTGCCGTTCCCTGAGCCGCCAATGCGGACCTGAGTGCAGGACAGGTAGATCACTGATCTCGTGGCGGATGAGGTAGTCGCCGGGGGTGAGGTTGTCGAGGAGCGTGATGATGAAGGAGCCGCCGTTCACTGCGAAGGTCCGCGAATCGAGATGGGTGCGCGACGAAGAGCAGAACACGACTCACTGATATTCGCCTGCACCCAAGTCTTTCCGTCGCTCTTCTTCCCGACCTGGTCGATCTTGAACCACTGCACGTCCGTCGAGTTCAACTTGTCGCAGATGACATCCCCGCACGACGCCATGTAGGTCATCGAAGGACCTGCGTTGTGTGGTCACTACACGCACGCCAATCAGCACCCCCGAGCCGCGCGGCCGAACTGGGGCACGTACCTTCTGGTCCTCACCGCCCGACAACTGGGACGTGACAGTTCTCCCGGAGATTGCGGGGGCAAAGCTCTCTGCCGACTACGCGCTGAGGGCACAGAAGAGGCCCGGGTTGGACGCGCCCTTGACCGAGCCGATATCTAAGATGAGGCGGATGGGACTGGGGCCTGCGTGTCGCGTTCAAAAGTTGAGCATGGAGGGGTAAATAGAGACACGTACCGGTGTAGTTATTGGGGACGTTGCCGAGGTACTTCGTACCATCGGTCCCGACCCAGTCCGCGAAGCCATGGTATGCGACGAGAGGAGTGAGGCGGTAAAGGTGGCAACGGCAGCGGAGGTCTTCATGCTGAAGGAAGTCGGAGGGTACAGGGGATGGGAAGAGGGATGTCAGACAGGCTCGGAAACAGGTATGTCGAGGCTGATGTTCGCCGTAGAGAAAGGTCGTGAAGTTGAAAGGTCAGCTCGTTCGAGAAGTAGAAAGGAACACGAGGCCCACCTGCAGACGACAGACGACCTTTGTACGCCCGTTCGCGTGAAGAGCAGAGCGTGGTGGAAGTACACAAAAGAGAGCATGCCGGACTCTGTCGCTTTCCACTCTTGTCGGAAAGGCACCAAGGTCGGTACCGCGGAATATCGTAAGAACCAACACGGGAGCACTCACCATCCAACGTCGTCCCCGGATGGACGTCCGCGCCGCTCTCAACGAGCCCGCGTGCCTTTTCTCCGTCCTCCTTCTCGAGGGCATCGACCGCGTTCGTCCCTGCGCCCGTCCGTCGGCCTGCCACCATCGCTAGTTCAACCACTTGATGCCCCCGTCCACGGCCTCCGAACTGAACTGATGCTTCGCCTTCGTGGGTGTCGTAGGAGGTAGACGCGGGCGTGCGGGAGGGAGCGAAACATGGAGATCGTCCGCGCTCAACAACGGAGCGGAGTTGTAGAAAAGCGACGCGGCACTTGTCGCCGTCGCCAGCCTTGCGGATGGTGTGGCGGGCGAAACATGAGGTCGGGAAGTCGAACCGGAGGTGCAGCAAAGAGGCAAAGAGGGCTTGATAGCGTGAATGGACGGTGACGAAAACGTGAGTAGGCGGCGCGATGAACGAGGGCAAGAACACACACCGACAGCCGCTCTCTTACACTCCAGATTTCCATATACAAGTGCGACCATCTCCCGCGAGACCGTACGAATGACAGCACTTGTCCAGCGATGTCGCCAGTCTCCAGCCTGAAATGAAGTCGTACGGAGACCATCAACAGGCGAGGGCTGGGCCTTCAGGAGAGGGGCTCATTGACGGCGCTGCGCTGATAGGAGTGGAATAGCGTGTGCATAGCTAAGGCGAAGACGAGACGGGGATGAGAAAGGAGGAGGCCGAGGCGTGATGGGAGAAGAGGACAAGAGCGTTGACGCCGTCCGACCCAATTTTGCTTCCTCCCACTACAATCCCACTAGCCCGGCCCTCACGCGCTTGGCCTCATCTCTCTGCAGTTCGTCGACTCTTTCAAGGTCCGGCTAGACTCACACCGCTCACACGCAATTCGCAACATGCCCTCGATGGCTCATAGTCAGTCTGTACGTGGATATGGACCCCACTGTCTCCACGGCGACGTCCGTCTCGCGATTCCTCCTCCAGACGCGCCTACTCCCCTGCCATATCCCGCGTCTTCGCCAACGTGTGCGTGGACAGAGACACCGAAGTGTACGCGAAGGACGCCTCAGGAGAGAGCGCACTGTCGCGGTACATGCGCACACCAGAACCAATTTCTCAAGTCCCCCGCGTCCAACACCTCCGCCACATTTTACCCTCCACCAATTTGTCGATGTCGATGTTCCTCCTCTGCGCAAACTCCACAGCCAGGCCTCCAATATCCGCACTATTGGTATCCACACCTTCCTTTTCTTCGTAGACCGTGACGGACTTCTCGTAGAAGCTTTCCGCGCCATGCACAAGCTCAAGCAAGCACGAGTGATAGTTGTCGGTCCTGAGACTGTGGCCGCTCTCCCGGAGATCCCTTCGAGCCGGCTCAGGCGCATCGGGCACGTCGCTCGTTGGCATTGTGGGCGAGCACGCCGATCTCCAACGGGCCGGCGGTTTTCCCCCACTTCCTCCGGCCCCCCCTGCCCGTCCGGCCCACCGCACTCGAGCTTCACACGACCCTCACGACTGTGGACGCGGGTCGTTTCTGGGACACGCTGTTTGGTGTCGCGCCCGGGCTGCGCTCGCGCGAGATCGTGGTCACGTAGGACGAGTGCGACGTGCGCGAATACATAGTCCGTCACGTTCTCGCCGCAACTTCCCCTCGCTCTTTTCCCCCGAATGCTGACCCCCGCGCTCCAATCCAGGAGCGGCTCCTGGCCGCACTGCGATCCAAATCGCTAGCGATCGTCCATCTGTCCCTGCACTTCCCACCGATCGCACCGCTCTACCGCGCGACCGAGGCCCGCAGCATCGAAGCGCTCCGCCCGCTCCCTCTGCAGATCGCGGAGGCCGTCCCGACGCTCCGCGCCCTCTTGCTCTCCTCTTGTTTTCCCGGATCGACCGGCTTCGACACCAGACGAGCGCGCGCGCAGCACACGGATCTCGATCTGGAGGTGATGGCAGAGCTCGCGCGCGACGAGCAGTGGTAGTGGGTCGAGGGCGACGGCGCGGGGCGGACCCTGGTGGAGATCTGGAGGGAGGACGGCGGGCGGGCGCAGACACTGACCGAGCGCGCAAACTGAAGCCTCGATGGTGAGCGTTCCATCGCGCTTGACGTACGGGACTGATAGGTAGTGCGTGCAAGATGTTGCTCCGCGAAGTCCCAACATCAGCGGTAGCACACACGATGCTCACAGATGTATGCGTGCTCGTACCTTATGCTAGGAGCGAGGTGCCGTATATCATCGTTATCCGCTCCACCTCCTTTTCTTCCCCCCACACCGATGTCACCTGCGTCCGAGAAACCATCAGTCAGTGCTTTGCTACTGACCACAACCAGCCTCAACGACGTGCGTCCCTTCTGTCAAACCTACAAGCCACTCTACGTTCTGGTCGACGGTGCCTGTCTCCCCGGATCGACCGGCTGTGACACCAGACGGGCGCGTGCAACCTGAAAAAACTGCCCCTAGTAGAGCTGATGGCCAAGCGTCGAGCGGCGGTGGGGACAGATGAGCGAGTTCGTCAGCCCTGCGCCGCGGCGGCTGCGGGAGCTCAAGAAGGCGGTATCGCGCGACAAACGGTGGTGTTGGGTCGAGGGAGACGGCATGGCGTGCGGTGGCTGCAGCACCGCACAATAAATACAATTCGAGAAACACTGGTGCGCCAGGTGCAGGTTTCGCACCGCTCTCGATGCCAGGTTCCACGCACCAATCCTATCAACCAACGTGCCTATTCCGCGCTATCCACGTCAGCCCTCACCCGCGTTTCTCCTCCTGTCACAGGATAGAGGCATTCAATTTCCGCTTCCAAGCCGTTGACTTCGTCCAGACTCCAAAGATCGGCTCCTATGGATCCCATAGCGTCCACCGCGAATCTCATAGATCCGGTTCCGACCTCGGCGTCAGAGGCACACGAGTGAAGTGGGTCGTCTGAGCCGAGCTTGAGCGTCCGCTGATGAGCCTCCTGCAGGTCAAGCAGGAATCGCGAGAGGAGGACCGTGGTAATACTGGAATGAAGGATATGAGAATGCATCGGTACTAGAAACACTGCAGGTTGTACTTACGGATCACCGAATTGGCTAATCAAGGAGGTTTGACCGGGGGATATGATCTGGCACCCATCGGATTAGAGATGAATGGATGAGACATCACATACTATATTTCTTACCCCTCTCAAAGTGGTTGCCATGCGGAGAGTGTTCAAAGTGAGAAAAACACTGCGCAATAAGATACACATTGGACAAGGGTCCAGGAGAACTTCTGAAAGACATACACAAAATACATGGCTCCTGTGAACGAGTTATAAAGCGGCAGGTCAGAGACGGAAATTAACGGACCGTTGCATAGCATGATGTAGGTTAACGTTCGTGGACAACTAGTCTTCAGTTTTATTTCCGAAGAGCGTGCGTTTTTCCAGGTCAGAAATATAACAATCCCGTCTGCGAGGATAAGCAGTGACCGAGAAAGTACCTCCGCTGAAACAGACCAGATCAAACGCTGTAATTGAATATGAAACGCGTAATAAATCCAGGCGTACGTACCACTGTGTGATCAGAGGCGTTAGAAATCACGTCTACCGTACTTCGAGAGCACACTCACGATATCAGGACCGTTGTGGGGATTGAAAGGTCAATTATGAGGCAACCCCAAGTCGGATCACTGATGCTCTGCGTCTGATATGAAAGAACACCCTGCTTATAGGAGCCACATTACGGGGCGTTTATATGAGTAAATGAATAGTTGACACGCACGAAGTCAAAGCCTATGTTCGCAACGGAAAATACCAGCACCAGCACTGCAAGTGGGCGACTTTGACTCAGCGCTAATGCGCGCATTGCGGAGAATACTGGCCGATACTACTCGTCATTATTAACAAAAAATGGGAAATGTCATACACACCTGCAGGAGGAAGGGGTTGTATGTATCCCAAAACGTCGGTGGTGTCGTTCAGTATGGTGCAACTGTTGTACACGAACTTGAGCTCAAGGCAGTTACTAAGAGCATTATACATTAAACTGACGTCTGCAAAGCACGGGAAAGTGAGTGCCGACATTCAAGGGAAATCGAAGAACACACACCCGGTCGGTAAATTTGTGATATCCAAGGAAGGAGAAAGTCTTGAGAATAAGGGCAAGATAGCGATTCAGGATGAATAGTACTGTTGACCCTGACAAGCGCCGGCTCCAGAAGAAATGGACCTCTCGGCCAAACGTGAGGATATAGTCGAAGATGAGGATGGCTTGTGGGTGTGAATCTCTTCCCATAGCTCATATTCACAGAGTACTGACCAGATGCTGCAGCCAACACGTATTCATCGGTGTAACTATATGATCATTCCGAAGAGGTAATGAGTTGAAGCGCTTTCATTTCTGCAGAACGAGACATACTTCACTTGAAAATCTTCTATCACTTGCGAAATTTGGTCGCCAAGGCCTTCCGTTGACATTTTGCAGTGATGGGAGGATGGTGGAAATGGTGCAGGTCTCTTGTTTATATAGGGCCTTGTTGAGTGCCACACAAATACTGCAACAATGACACAGTCTCGTCCTGGGGAGATCTTCAGGTACAATTGTGGCAGCAAAAACAAATACACGTACTTCGTGTCTCTGGATGCATAGTAAGAGACCACATCAAGGGGCGCATCCGCTGTCCCATGTCTACAAATATTGATATACACCACTACAACAGCTTGGACGTCTGGCGCGCGTTCAGATAGTGCATCGTGTCAGTGTCTCAGGGACAGTCAGGGACCGGATGGTGAGACCATCGCCGCGCCCATCAGAAAGCCAGCACGAAGCATGCCGGCTTTCAGAATAGAAACCCCGTCGGAGCTCTGGCAATCCGACCGTGGCTTGGCCGCCTACACTGCACACGCCATCACGTGAGCCCTTTCTTCAACTCGCCAACATCACCAGCAAAGTGTGTGCCTGGACGAGTGCATTTGGATCCATACCATGAAACACTTGTCATTCCTCTCAATGACGTCCTTCTCGCCATCTTTTCCCTCCTTGGCCGCTCTTAGCTAGCGAAGGCAAGCGGGCCTATGCTCTTTCGCAGTATATCTCTACGTGGTGCGTCTCCTCAGTCTCTCTCGCCACATTCGAGTCGGTTTCCCCATGCTGATTTCTTTCTTCGGTCGCCCGCATCACTAACACAGGATCCACCGCTCGTCGCGCTTCGAGCCACGCGAGCGAGTCCACCTCCCGCTTCATATCCCGCCTCTCCTGGAATGATACCACGCATCGAACATCACCCAGCTTTACGGCTGGTCCACCTCAAAGGATCGCCGTATTCACGCCCTTCGACCGCTCCCGCTGCGCCTCGCACTGGTTCGTGGAGCTCGCTGGCCTGCCGTCGGAGCTCGTTGCGGAGCTCGTGCGCGAGGACGACGTCGAAGGGCAGCGGGCCCGTCCGACCAGCGAGTTCTTCGACCCAGGGGTGCGGAGGCTGCGGGCGCTCCGAGAGGAGATGCGCGAGGAGCAGTGGTCGTGGATCGAGACCGAGGGGGTATCGCCGTCGAGGCAGGGGGAGATATGGCGGGATGACGGCGAGCGGGTGCAGGACTTGATCCAACGCCAGGACTTTCATCAGTGGAAGACACTCGAGGGTGAACGTTTCTGTTCCTGAATGTGTGCGCGCGGTCGCCAATCGGATCTTTGCAGGATTCTACTCTGCCAAGGTTCGCTATGAGCGGTAGCTCGACACGGTAGTCTACGTTCTACCAATGACTATACGCGCGCCACGCGTCGTTACAGTCGATACAAATTGTTTAAACCGCTTGATAAGAGGTATCATAGCGCGCGACGGAGCGAGAGACCAAGGCGAGCCGCCGCGGAGAAATGAACTCACAACTCTATGGGCCCTGTTCAGGAGTCGTCAGTTCGTGTGTTGTCGTCAAAGTTTAAAAGAAACCTTACTGTCTGCCCCATCTCTTCGTCCCAGAATATCTTCCTCACACTCAACTGAGGGGTGCCCGCACCGATGCGTCCATCCCGGCCGCGGCATCGAGAGAGACGCTCTCGAATCACCGCGCAGGTGGACTCAGCGGTATCGGAAGCCGGTCGGTCCCCGCAGATAAGCACCGCCGCGTGGCATGTCCCGCTCGCGCACGGGAAAACGGAGGCGTGGTCCGAGATCGGTGTCAGAAAGCCGTATAGACGCAGTGACACGTCCGCTGCGTCGCGAATGCGGCCACATCTCAGCAGGACAGCTGCATCGCCTGGGTACTGCACCTCAAGGCAGCACTGAGTCTTGATCGCACCTGTCTGAAGACTCACCGGATAGTGGACGCAGATGCGTGGCTCATGTCGCGTACACGGCCCGCACCCGATAACCTATCACGAGTCTCCGCTTTGTGCAAACGCGCGCCAGGTCTACAAGCCCGCACGCTGACCGACCCAGAAGACCTGCTGTCGCGGACGAGAGATGCGCAGACTTGCAAAGATCTGCTACAAGCACTTCCAGTATTGATGTACGGTATTCGCGCGATAAATGACGAGGCAGCTCACCCGTCGGCGTCGTCGCCGTGTCAAATGGCCATCCTTGATGAGTTCGAGCGCTGCGTCCACGTCGCCCTCCGGGGCTCCTTGACCTTCCGCCACGAAGCGTTGAGAAACACGCTCGCGGGGCCACACCACCCTGTCATCTCGAGCCCCACAACCAGCGCCGTGGGCACGTCCGACAGCTCCAGCCAGCCCACGTGCGTCGAAGCCGGCGGGCCCCAGCCGGCGCGGTGAGAGCGGGACGATGGGGGGCGACGGAGCCACGACGAGACGGGCCGCACCGAAAATGTAGGCCCCCGCGGCGGGACAGCCACCGACTCTCGGACGTACGCTGGGCGCACATCCGCGGGCGAGGGCGGGCGAAGATCAGCGCTCGGAAGGTGGAACGCGGAGGGGAGTCGGAACGTGAACATCCGATGCACTCGCGTGCGTGCCAGTCGCTAAGAGACACCGGTGGCGTGCTAGTATCTTCCCAGGACAAGGCTGCCCCAGAGAACAGCCCCATGAACGTCCGGTCCGAGTGCAGAGAGGAAGCGCAGAGGGCGACGAGGGTACACTCACCGTTCAGAGCCATCGTCAAGTCGAACTCTTTGTGCTTCCTCTACGCCTTTCGACCACAACAGTGCCCCTCGAGTGCGGCCAATCCACCACCGTCCCCGATCCCGAAAAACGCTGTGCAGTCGCACCTCTGCAGCGGGGGCGTGGACCGCGTCACAGGCTCGTTCTTCGAGTAGTCGTGATATGCCCGTCTGGGAGAATTCTTGAACCGACCGAGAGACATTGTATGTAGGCTGCCGTGGTAGGAGAGAGAGAGAGATGGAGGAGACTGGGTGAACTGAACGAGGAAAAAGACGCAGGGCCGCGCGGGAGGGCTGCCCCTGATTGTGTGAGCGCTCAGTCAGATAAGATTAGATAGGGAGCATGGTCGATCGGTCACTCCTTCGAATCGCCCCGTACGAGATAAGATAAAGCGAGCAATCAACGTCAACACGGACTAGGTGCAATGGACAACTTTAACGAAGATGACGCTGACGGATCTTGTGGGGAGACGCGGGGAGACATGCGTATCGTCTTCTGTGTATCTGAATAAAACCATCGATGACTGCTAGAAAAGGCAGGCAAGAATAACAGGCATGAGATAGAGGCTCGACCAACGAGATGGCAAGAATGAGTGCTGAGCATTATTGAACTGGGCGTCGCTGTTATTTGATCCTGCGCAACCGTCTTCGTGCGGTTCTGGTCCACCTCATCGAGCTGTACATCATCACCTTGGAAGCGCGGAGCCTTGGATCTCGACCGTAGGCAACCTTGAAGCAGGCGAAAAGTTCATTTCCCTTCGCATGGTTCGCGGGGGCGCCGTCTTCGTACCTCTTATGTCACCGTACTGCTCTCATAGTACAAATATATGCGGTGAAAATACACACAGTGGTGACCAAGAATGGCCTCCATCCAGAGTACTGCTCGTAGCGACACTTGTCCGAGTAAAATCCTACGAATACAGCTGATCAGCGACAGTGCAAACGAGTCCAGTCCGAAGCAAACTCACCATCGAGCCCCTTCTCGCAATCGAAGTCCGCGCGTCCGATCAGGTCCCGCGCCGGCCCCCCGTCCTCCCGCCAAATCTCGACCGCGTCCGCCCCGCCCCCTCGCCCTCGACCCACCACCACCGCTCGTCGCGCGCGACCTCCGCCCGGTACTCCTCCATCTTCCGCATCGACGCGTTGAGAAACTCGCTGCTCGGCCCCCACTGCCGCCGGATCTCTTTCTCGCGCTGAAGCTCTGCGATGAGCTTTCGCGGGGCTGGAGAGTGGAATAGCTTCGAGTCGAAGTCCGAGGTGCCGGGTTTGCACGACGAGAGTGCAAAGACGCGGAGGGACGCGAGCTCCTCGGTGAGCCCTGCGAATCGTCGTCTTTCGCCACCTCCAAATCTCTACCGCACGACAGGCTCGAGGAGACATGAGAGGGATCGCGGCGTGATAAGCGAGACGGGAAGCGTGTGTCACCGAGTGGGCATCGGTGGGCTCTCGTTGGGGGGAGATTGTGAGGGGCGCGTCTTCCTTGAGGAGAAGGAGGGGAATATGCGCCGTCGTCGAGCGACGGAGGAGAGTCTTCCTGGGAGCGCTGAACTCCGAGGTGCGGGTTCACAAGAACCGGAGGAATGCGTTGGCGTGAAGGCTCACTGATGGTGCAGAACGCAAGAGATATATGGCTAAGGGTAAAGAAGACATACCACGTCCCAGCCTGTTGTACGCCCGATGCATCCGCCCTAGCTCTCCGCCACCAAGCCTCACCTTCTGCGCCTGCTGTGGCTTCATGTCTCCGCCAACCTCCACTCTCGCTCCCCCACCACCCGCGGCTGTCCGTAGTGGCGACGCAAATATGCCACTGACGGTAGGCGGAGGATAAGGGCATCGATGTTCTAGGAACCCTCAGTAAATGAAGGGCGCAGATGCTATGAGGACACAAATAGGGGTGGATGAGGAGACGATGCAACGAACGAGGGCAAGCAGACGCACCGAATATTCGCTTCCACATCGCCGGTATGGTTGTGCCATAGAAGGCCAGTCTCCCTGACGATGACAGTTAGATCGGCCTGAGGTGGTACGTTGCGATGTGTTGTGTCGGTGCTTGGGTCAGCGATGTGCTCATGTGCAGAAGGAGTGGGGTTTCAGCTCAGAACAGAACAGCTCCGTGTCGCCCAGAGAGTAGAGAGAAGAAGACGCCGGTGAGAGGAGGAGGAGGAGGAGGAGGAGGAGGAGGAGGAGGACGGGGTTGGTGACAACGGCGAGGGGAAAGAGGAGATTCAGGCGTTGACGCCCTACGATGGCGCTCTTTGCCAGTCTTTGCCTCTCTCCTTCCTCTTCTTTTGCATCCTGCTAGCCGGCTCAAACCCAAGCCCTTAGGTAGCTAGAAAAATCTCCAGAATACCCGCTCGACGACCGACCTCGGCTAACCATCAATTGTATACTGAACGGTACTGTTTTTTGTTCGCCCTCGTAGTTCCAGAGGTCCCTCTAAAGTCCCCTGAGATGAACCTCCTCTCTCTTAACGACGACGTCCTCCTCGCGACTTTCTCCTTCCTGGATTCCAAGGCGGCGTTGGCCACTGCTTCCACCTCCAAACGCGCCTATAGACTCGCTATCTCTCGCGTCTTCGCCGACCTATCCTGGAGTACAGTCCGCCGATCGGACGACAAGGACGGCTCCAGGCCCTCGCACTTTCGAGCTACATGTGCACACCCGAACCTTTGACCCAAGTACCCCGCGTCCAACATCTCCGCCATCTTACCCTCGGCTTCAATGTGAATGTATTCGACCTGATACCTCTACACAACATTCTCAGTCAAGCCTCTAATCTCCGCACCATCAGCATGGGAAACTCGTACTTCCTCCACTCCGACCGCTACAGAACCATCCAAGCGATCGGCACGATGCACCACCTCGAGGAGGCACGTCTGCTATTTGTCGATCCCAAGGTGGTTTCTGGTCTGCCAGTCATGCTATCCAGTCCAAAACTCACCACTTTGGCACTGAGTTTTGTCTTCGACCATTACAACGGCGTGGAAAACGTCGACCTTCCCGCACTCATGTCCTCCCTCGCCCCCGTCTCGAGCATACGCACACTTACCCTAGCTTTCGACTACGTCCCCACTTCGCCGCCGCCGCCCAATTCAAACAACTTCGCCCTTCCTTCAGTTCATCACCTCACCCTCAGATCCCCCCTTGGGCCGTTCCCCCACGCATCGTGGCGCTATGTCCCAACATTCTCACATTGTCATTATCTCTCACGACATTCTCCCTGGGTGGTTCCGTCTCCACTGCGTTCTCCGTGTCGGCGGAGGACCGATGGCCCGCCGGACTGAAGGAGGTTGACCTCCCCTTGCACTTCACCATCGCGGAGGACACTATCCAGAGCATCAAGCACGTCAACCGACTGTCGCTCGGGGGTGACAGAGAAATTTCCGGTTGGCACGAATTCGAAAGGTTCCTCCCGCTCCTCGCGGTGTTCCGACCTACCGTCCTCAAACTCCAGATGGGGCCCGTGCTCTACGAGCCGATCCGTATGTGGAACGCCCTGCGCACAGCCGCGCCGCGGCTCCGCTCCCTGGAAATCGTCGTCGCAGCCTCCGAATGCAATCTGCGCGATTAAGCCGTACGTCCCCTGCTCCCCGCAGGAGGGCAGCGCTGATACTCCCTCACACGCAGGATTCACTCATCGCTGCTCTCGGATCCACCTCGCTCGTCCACCTCTCCCTCCGCTTCCCGGCCACCGACCTAGCCCACCACGTTTCAACCTTGGAGCAAGCCCACGACCTCTGCATCGCGGAGATCGGCCGCGTCGAGACCCTCCAGTCGCTCCCTCTCCGGCTCCCCGAGGCTGTACCGTCCCTCCGCGTCTTCGCACTCTCATCGTGCAGGCCCGGCGCCACGGACCTCGACTTGGCACGATACCACACTTCGGCTTCGCCACAGCTCAGGATCGCAGGGCTCGGGCGCGAGAAGGAGGTCTGGCGACAGTGGAAATCAAGTGGCGAGTTTTTCGCCGCGGCGAGGCGAAAGATGGAGGAGCACCGGGCGGAGATCGCGCGCGACGAGCGGTGGTGGTGGGTCGAGGGCGAGGGCGCGGCGCGGACGCCGATCGAGATTTGGCGGGAGGACGGGGAGCGGGCGCGGGACCTGATTCAACGCGCGGACTTTGATCTTGAGAAGGGGCTCGATGGTGAGTCTACTTCGGACTGGACTCGTTCGCGCTGCTGCTGATCAGCTGTGTTCGCAGGATTCTACTCGGACAAGTGTCGCTACGAGTGGTAGCTGCTCGCCGTGCATATGTTCACGTCGTGTATCTGGGCGATGGGAGCAGGATAGTGCTTGTGTTGGCGCGTTGCTGACATAGTAGATGGTTGCCTATGTAGTCTCACTGTCGCGTTCGACAGCATTTGATGTCCCGACTCAAAACAGTGGAGACCTACTTTCTTCACGAGCAACCTAGCCACCAGCACGTATGACATGACGCACCTTTTTAACGTGCGTCTCGATGTAAATAGCAGGGTAGATCGTGCATACATGTTGAACGAGAGAAGCAGAAGAGGGCGTCGCGCCGTGAGAAATAGAGTGGAGTGGAAGTCGTCCGGGTCGGAGATAGCACTGGTCAACATGAGGGAGACGATACGCGTGCACGGATTCCAGACTCAGCGCCGGGGTTGGATCCACTGGACGCGCGAGGCGCGGGATACCGTCGGGGGCCGGAGAAGGGTGCATAATAGACGGCGGGCGCGATGTGCGAGTGCTCGCGGACATTGTACATGCCTGGGCCGGGATCAGGAAGGAACCGTCATGTGGGACTCATCTGTCTGGGAGTGCGTACATTTCTTTCAATCCCTCTCCTCCAGCCTCGCCGTCGGGTCGCAGCGCCGCTCCCTCCAAGTCGTGCTCAGAGGAAGCACGTGCAACGTACGCGAGGCCGAGTAGACGACGCGTTTCGCCAACATACGTCGGGCAACGGCACAACGAAACAGCCTGCTCGCCACGTTTGAGGTGCATATCGCATCGACATTTCTCCGCACTTCCCGCCCACACGCGTCCCCACTTCTATCTTGTGCGCTTTCCATACGTCCGTACGGCCTCAACCGTGCGCGCTACCGCTCATACCGACACTTCGAAGAATAAAACCCTGCAAAGCAGGACCGGTCAGCTACGACAGACACCTCGAGCGCGACCACCACTCACCGTCCAAACTCCTCGCAGCGTCAAAGTCCGCGCGTTCGATCAGCGCCCGCGCCCGCTCGCCGTCCTCCCGCCAGATCTCCACCGGTCTGCGCGCCGCGCCCTCGCCCTCGACCCACCACCACCGCTCGTCGCGCGGGACGTCCTCCCGAAGCTCCCGGAGCTTCCGCAGCGCGGGACGCACGAACTCACTCGTCGAGCCCCACCGCCGCTCGTCCTCGTCCTCGCGTGCGTGCTTCGCCGCGAAGTGTTCGAATAGGGTCGGCACGCGGTCCGCGCATTCCTGCAGGTTGTCGAAGCTTCTCGATCCGGGCCGGCAGCAACGCAGCGCGACGAGCCGGAGCGACGCGGCGGCCGCGACAAGTTGCTGGGGGAGCGGGAGGAGTGCCTCGACGCGGCGGACCTCCGCCGCGCGCCGGTAGTCGACCTCGGCCATCGAACATGGGTGCGCGGGCGGGAAGTGGAGGGTGAGGTGGGCGAGCGACGAAGCATGCAGCGCGGGCAGCAGCGGGTCCTGGTCGTGCGGCGCGGGAGGGTTGGCGTGGGCGCGGAAATGAAGGACGGGCGGACATACCACGTAGTCCCGCACGTTGCACATTTCTGCTGTGACCTCGAGAGAGCGGAGGTGAGGCGCCGCGCCGCTCAAGGATTTCCATACGTGCTCCGGTTCGGTCAGGACGGGATCCATCTGCAGTTTGAGAGCGAAGGGTCGGGTTGCTTCGAGCAGCGGGAGCAAGTCGAGGACCTCTGGGCCGGATAGTGACGCCATATCGCACCCTAACGATACAGAGTCGACGTGCCCCATGCGTCGGGTGGTGTCTGTGGCGACTACAGCATGCGATCGAATAATGAGCTCCTTGAGGTCAGTAGGCCACCGGTCATCGTCCCCCAGAGAGAATATCGGGTTCTCGCCATATAGCCATAGCGACAATGTGAGGAGATTGGGGCACAGCGTCACGAAAGTTGCGGCCACCGCTGAGGAGCATATGAGGGAGAGGTGGTGGATCGAGGGAAGGCTTCCATCGGGTGTTCTGAAGGCGTTCGGTAGCACGGGGACACGGTTGAAGTCGACTGTAAAAGTGTGTATGCTCGGGAGGGAGCCAAGGACGGATATGAGTGCCGCAAGCTCGGGTGTGTGATTTGGTTCGTCGTAAGAGTCAGCCAAATCGAGGTGTAATGATGCAATGTTCGAGCTTGAAAACATGGTTGGCAGAAGAAAGATCGTCTCAAAGGCGATAGATACCAGACGCGCTTGCTTGAGGTAGCGCATTACGCCGATGGCTCGAGTGAGACTTTCTTTGTCTTCTTCGACGAAGGACTCGAAGTTCCAGAGCTCGATGGTGCGAAGGTTGGAGGCGTGGCTGAGAAGTTGGTGCAGAAGTGGCACGTCGACTAGTTGAAAGAACTCCGTGACGAAGTGGTGGAGGTGCTGGACGCGAGGGACCTGAGAAAGCGCCTCTGGTGCGCGCATGTACTCCCACATGGCATAGGCCTCAGAGGAATCGTTTTCGGGCACAAACCCGTACATGTCTCTGCTCCAGTGCAGACTGGTGAAGACGTGGGAGATGGCAAGTTGATAAGCGCGTTTAGAGGCGTACGCCATCGCAAGCGCCTCTTTGGAATCCAGGAGGGAGAAGATCTCGAACAGAACATCATCGTTCAACGAGAGGAGAGAGGCGAAAACCATATTCTGGGTGTAACGACGTGTCCTGGATAGTTTTTCGGGAGGATGCTGGCGCGCAGTGGTGGGAGAGAGAGAGACGGGGCCATCACGCGCAAATCACGCGTGTTTGCGGATGTTGGCTGCGAGTGCCTGGCGCGTCTACGTCTCTTCTCCTTGCCCCTCGACCTCGTTGGCTCCCTTCCACCTCTCATCTGCGCTCCGCACTCGCCCGGCTTCAAGATATATGGCTCATTTAACGGCGAACGACCCAGCTCTCGCCTTTCTCAGGCCCCAGCGGTCTCGGGTTCAAGTCCACGCTATCGTTGTGCGACCTCCGAGTAGGCTCTGTGGTGTTGGAAAGAGGCTGCTTCCGGTGCGTGTCTTTCCTCTCGTTCATTGCGCTGTCTTCCCATGCTCTGTACCTCCCATTCGTCTCCTCAAGCTTCATCGTCCCAGCCCTTCTGTCCTTTCTGGCCGGTGAACTCTCGCGTACGTTGACCCGACGCAATCCTTCACCGTCCCGAGCAGCCTCCATTCGCACCTCCCGCCTGACTTCCAGATCACACGCTCACAACCGCAACGAGTCCTTCTGCCATGCTCCGCGTCCTCTAGCTCTTTTCATCCCGCCCCTCTCGACCTATCAGGGCACCACAGGGCTCGGAGGCCCGGCTTTCCTCGGACTACTACCACGATCCGAGGCGCGGAGGCGTGTAGGGCAGACTCTTGATGGCAGTGGCGCGGGGCACGTCAGGCGGAGCGTTGGGTAGCAGAGCCGAGGTCGGGACTCTGGAGGACAGCGAGAGCGCGGGTTGATCGAGAGTGTGGCCTTGGAGCCGACGATGATGGATGCAGTGAGTACTTGATTCCTTCCCCGCTGCTTCTTGCGCGTTCCCCAATCTGGGCGTTGGTACTAGGGTTCTTCGAGCCAGTGCACGGAAACGCTTCTTTCATGTTCTTGTATGCGCACCCAATCTCATTTCCGGGAGCATTCGATCACGACGACACTGTCCGCGGGATCATAAACATAAACTGCGCGTATTCAGCACACTGTGCTCGGGAAGTGAAAAGACGGCGAGATATAGGTGGCACGATACGACGCGCGACCGCGAAGGACAGGCGCGAAGTGGAGAAAAGGATAGGGTGGACGCGGGGGATCAGGCGGGAGGCGCACGGACGTGGCTCATCGGTCGTGAAGCGGTTGTACAGTCGAAGGGAAGCAAGTGAGACAGACGGGCACGAGTACGTGTGAGGAGAGAGCTGGCATGTATGGCTAAGCAGTCCTGAACTAAATACACGAGCAACGCGTGGTCCTGGGGCGTAACTGTAAGCAATCGAGGGACTTGGGTCGGACATGGAGTTGAGGTTGTTGACGCACGCACTGCGCGGGGCGAAAGTATCGGCTGGTGACCACGGCGAAAGTCAGCCGCAGGCGTTGCGTCGGCGACGTTGTCACCTGCGCGTCGTAGCATACGATTGTACCGTGGCCACCGCTCATAGCGGCACTTGGCCAAGGAGAAGTCTGCACACCATCGATCAGCCGAGCAGTCGCGCGAACCGGTCCAGCGAACTGAGTAACACTCACCATCGAGGCTCCTCACAGTCACATCCTTGAAGCATTCCGATCTGTTGCGCTTGACTCCGGACGAGGCGGGGTACCGAGACATCTATGGAACGCCTTGCACGCAGCGAAGGCCACCGAATGTCGCTCTGCAAATCGTCGCCGCAGATGGTGAGTGCAACGTGCGTGAATACACGGTACTTCCACCCACCTTTTTGCGGCGCGCACAGGACCCACGCTTCGTTGCCCCCAATACACTCTCATCCACCTCTCTCCTCGCTTCCCTTCCACGCACTAGGGATACCACGTATCGTCATGGCCCATTTGAGTGGACGACCTCTGCGCCGCGCAAGTCCGTCGTGTAGCCCGCTTGTGTTCCGGCCGGCCGAACTCGTCCCGTCTTTCCGCGTTTGTTTGTTTGTTTGTCTCCTGTTTAACGCCCTGGAGGGCCGAGCCCTATGGTAGGCGCTACGTACAGTAATCTAGCTAGCGAGAATAGGAATGCGTATACGGGACTGATGACGTGTCGGCCCCGCTGGGGCCGGAGAGTGAGCCAGAGGTATCTAGGCATCGTGCAGTCGAAATGGAGTGAGTGGATGGTGAGGGGGCGGGTACTCTGTCTGTTGGCCTCGTAAGTTTGTCTACCGGGTGCCAACGCGCACGGGGCGCCTGGTGATGCGCGCGGCGGGGGTGGCACGCTGTTGTTGACGTGTCGGTGCGGGAGGTCTTCGTGGAGGTCCTGCTCGCGGGTGTACTGGACGGTCTGCAGGTGTCGAGGGCGGTTGCGGGGCTCCGGGGGTGCCATCGCCGGCGGGGTTGGAAAGGGCCCCGAATGTCTGCCGGAGCCGTTCTGTTGCATCAGTGTATGCGGAGAGCTGTGGGAGTGCGGCTGCATTGCTCAGTAAGTATTCAAGTTTCCCGCCTTTCCGTCCTAGCTTCATATGAATGTGGGTCATTCCCTCGCGCGAGTACGCGGGGCAGCGGAGCAAGAAATGTACCACCGTTTCGGCCCCCACTCCGCAGGCCGGGCAGATGTCGGTGTCCGCGCGTCGTATGCGATGGAGGTGTGCGTGGAGGGGAGCGTGGCCTGTGCGGAGCTGGATGAGTATACTCGCCTGGCGGCGGGAGAGCGGTGTGATGAGGTCGAGGAAGGACTTGGAGGGCAGTGAGGGGTCGATCTGGTTGGTCTTGGGGTAGCGTGGGGACACGCTCCAGCTCGTTTTGGCCTCTTTTTGCAGGAGGGTGAGGTGGTCTTTCCGCGTCCTCAAGCTCTCGACGCCGCGGAGCTGCTACCCGTACCAGTGGAGCCGATCGCGTAGCTCGACCGCGAAGGGGACATCGTGCGGCGGCGGCGGCGGCGGAGCCGCGAATTCCTCAACACGCCGATGTGGAGGGTGAGGGAGCATCAAAAGGTTGTCCCGAGCGATGAGCGTTGGTGGTGGATAGAGGGCGAGAGAGAGAGTCGCCAGGGTGTGGAGAGGGCACGAGAGTTGAGGCTTTGAAGCTGGAAGCTTGGAGCTTGATCTATCGCGCGGGTGTCCGACCCGCCTCCTTTGCGCTGGACTCGTTCGGGAGATCGTAATAGTCACCTGGGCTTTCATATTCCTACTTTGGCAAGGGCAGTCGCGGACGCGGGACATGCATCGTCGGCTTGCCGTACTCGCTCCACTGACAGCCGAGGAGGACCTTGGTCGGCCGCTTGCGCTTTGCTCATAGTGGGTGGGGACGGCGTGCAGGGATCGATGAGGGCGGGTGGGCGGCGCGAGATCCTCTGCAATTTCCATCCGATGGTGACCGCGGAAGCCGAAGAGATGGGGATAGAAAGCAGGACCGGGCAGACATGCGAGTCGGGGCTGGTTGTTGTCGGTTTCTCTGTCGCAAATGACATCGGCGTGGGTGGAAGAGGAGGTGGGGCCGCAGACTGGCCCGCCAGCATTCAGGTTCGGGGGAACTTTGACATAAGGCACCACGCTCCCAGGGTCCGGTACGAGTATACGTACATGTCTGGGCATCGTGGGTGCTACCGCTCATATCGGTACTTCGCGGAGTAGAATCCTGCACGTACTACCAATCAGCTTCCGCGTATACAGCGCGTCAAGCGTGATAAAACACTCACCGTCAAGGCTTGTCGCAGGGTCAAAGTCTCTGTGTCCGATGAGCTTGCGTGCCCTCTCCCCGGCCTCCCTCCAGATCTCCACCGGAGTGCGCGCCGCGCCGTCGCCCTCTACCCACCACCACCGCTCGTCGCGCGGGATCTCCATCCGCAGCTCCCTCAGCCTCCGCAGCGCCGGGCTGACGAACTCGCTCGTCGGTCCCCACCGCTGCTCGATGGCGTTCTCGCGCGCGAGCTCCGCCATCACCTCCGCGTCGAGGCCTTCGTGCCGCGCGCGCCCGCGTCTGGTGTCGAAGCCGGTAGATCCGGGGAGGCAAGAGGAGATCGAGAGGACGCGGAGCGTCGGGACGGCCTCGACGATCCGCAGAGGGAGCGGGCGGAGCGCTTCGACGCGGCGGGACTCGGTCGCGCGCCAGCCGTCCACTTCCGCTATGCTCGACGCGTGGTAGTATTGTGGGATCGGCGGGAAGCGCAGGGACAAGTGGACGAGTGTCAGCGAGTTGGATCGCACTGCGGCGAGGAGCGGCTCCTGGGTGCGGCGCGGGGGGTCAGTGGTCGGGAAAAAGAGCGGGGGGCCCGGGAGGCGCGACAAGGACATGACGGACCATGTATTGGCGCACGTCGTACTCGCCCGGCGCGACGACGATCTCGAGCGAGCGCAGCCCGGGCGCGGCACCACACAGCGTGTCCCAGACACGACCCGGATCCCTCATCGTGGGTGCCGTGTGGAGCTCGAGAGCGGTGGGCCGGACGGCCGAAAGAAGATCGAGGGTGTCGCAGAAGTCGATTGAGTTGGATATCGGCGTGCTGGCCCCGTATGCCAACGACCCGACGTGCCCGATGCGCCTGCTAGCAGCCCGTGGGATGAAGGCGATGGAGGGGACGTCGAGCCGCTTGAGTCCGACAGGCCATCGGTCTTCTTCTTCCATGGGAAATATCACGGGCTGCCCTCCCTCCGCATTCAGCAAAAGAGACAAGGTGATGGTGTTTGGACACAGGGGGATGATACCAGGGGGGATCTGAGCAAGACAGCGGAAGGAGAGGTGGAGAATGGAGGGAAGGACGGTTTGGATTGGATTAGGGAGTCGGAGGGAATCCGTTGGCACGAGGTACGAGACGAGGGCGAGGGTGTGTAGGCTCTGCATAGAGGAGAGTCCGGACACGAGGGCCGCGAGGTCAATGTCTCCAGACTCAAAGTGCATCTCGTCGAATTCAAGAGTCAACGATGCCAGGCACCGACTCGAGAGAATCTCAGGCAGAGAAGCCACCGTCTCAGGACCGACGTCTATCAGGCGTGCTTGCTCGAGGTTGTGCATGGCGCCGATAGCGTCTACGAGGAGTCTGTCTTGGTGTACGAAGAACTCGAAGCTGTGGATCTCAATAGTGCGGAGGTTGGAGGCCTGGCTGAGAAGTTCGCGCAAAGGAGGAACATCTACATCGCAAAAGTGGCGGAGGGTGAAATGGCGGAGGTGCTGGACGCGGGAAACTTGGGAAAACGGCTCCGGTGCGCGCATATACCGTGACAGTGCGCGGGCTTCGGAGGCGTCCTTGTCGTTTACTTTGAGGTCTCTGTCCCAGCACACGTTGGCGAAGACGCGGGATATGGCAAGGGGGTAGGCGCGTCTGGAGGTGGTAGAGATCGCGAGTGCATCGTCGCGGCCGAGGAAGGAGAATATCGCGAGAAGGACATCGTCGTGGAGAGAGAGAAGGGAGATGGGGTTCATGTTAGCGCACGAACCACGAGTCGTCGTCGGTAGCTTGGGAGTTCCTTGAGAGCGGTGCGAGTCTAGGCGGACCGTGTGAGAGAAGAGACAGAAAGATGAACTGGGGAGAGAGATGAGGCCAAGCGACGGTTGAGAATATTGGGAGGAAGCAAAATTGGGTGGGACGGCGTCAACGCTCAACGCCTCTTCGTCCTCTTCTCCCATCATGCATCAAGCTTCGGCCTCCTTCTTTCTCATCGTCGTCTCGTCTCCGCTATGCACACGCTTTTGCGGCCCACTCCTATCAGCGCAGCGTCATCCGTGAGCCCCGATTCTCAACGAGCCCGACCCAGTGTTTGCCTGTTGGTGGGCCCTGTACGGCTTCATGCTCGGGCTGGAGTCTGGAGTCATCGCTGCCGGGGAAAGCACCGTCGTTCTTACGGTCTCGTAGGGGATGGTCGGACCTGTAGGTGGGGCTCTGGGGTGTAAGGTGGCGTCTGTCGGTGCGTGTTCTTGCTCTCGTTCATCGCGCCGTCTTCCCCCATCCACGCCATCAAGCCCTCTTTGCCTCGTCTCGGTTGCTTTGCTGCATCTCCAGCTCGACTTACGTGGCATCCGTCACGTCTCCCGCAAGGCTAGCGACGGCGACAACTGCCTCGTCGCCTTTCCACAGCTCGGTCTCCGCGGACGATATCCTCCACGTTTCTCGCCCTCGCAATCTCGTCATGCGCGCCCCCCACCCTACGACACCGACGAAGGCCAAGTGTCCGCTCAGGTCAGAGGGTGTATCATGCGGCTAAACCGGCGGTGGCGGTGAGTCGGGGGGGTGGGCGCAGGGACGAGGTCAGCGAGAGGAGGGACGGACAAAAGGGCACGCGAGGTCGTGGAGAGCGGCGCTGATGTCGATCTGGGGACAATGCTGGTTGGTAAGTGCTCCCCTGGTGCTTTTCTGAAAAGAGTCGCTACGCTCTTTCCGAACGGTCTTCGGAAATCCCTTCCTGGGTTGGGGTTAGAGCATCGAGTGCCGCTGCGACTTTACAATTCACTTCCGGAATCGATAGTTCACAATGAATACATCTCTGAGCTCTGCAGGAATGCACGCTTATCTATGCAGTTGATGTCTGCCCCCCCCCGAGTCGTGAACCCAACCTGATCGTGTAGATTTAGACTTTGTACTGTACGCCTACCATAGGGCTCTGCCCTCGAGGGCGTTGAACGAGGACGACAAAAAAAAAGGACTGCACGCTTGACCTACGCGTATACATGCAGTACTGGAAGGCTATTTTGTGCAGTTGTGATGCGCGGGAAGTCAGAGAAAAGGTATGACGCGCCACCGCGCGCGGAGAATAGGTGCGGAATGAGAAGGCCTACACAACCTTGTGGTCGCGGTCACTGAAGGGAGAGTACGACAGAGGACAGCGTAGCTATCTACATACTAGGTAGTAGGCAGACCGGAGGACTTAGTACTTAGTACTTAGTCCTGGGTGACATCGGTGCCTGCAGTGCCAGGAACAACTACGTACTGGAAACTTGAAAGCAGCCAATGAGAATAAGGTTCGAGCTCCGACCGGGAACATGCGAGGCACTGCTCGGCGCTACACTGGATTCACCTCGACGATCAGCTTGCATTCGATAACGGGCTTGCTCATTCAATACAGAAAAACGGTATGTACAGTATTATAACTCTTACTCATAGCTCCAGACGCCCCTCTAAAGTCTCCGAAGATGAGTCGCCCTTCGGGCCTCCTCTCTCTCGACGATGACGTCCTCCTCGCGACTTTCTCCTTCCTGAATTCCAAGGCGGCACTGGCTATAGCTTCAACCTCCAAACGCGCCTACAGACTCGCGATCTCTTGCGTCTTCTCAGATATCTTCTTTGGTAGAGGATATGGTACGGATGAAAAGGACGGCTCCAAATCGCTCGGCCTGTCGCGCTACATGTGCGCACCCGAACCATTGTCCCAAGTGCCCCGCATTCAACAGTGAACACCTCCGCCGTCTCATCATCAATCGCGTACATGAAGTCGATCTTCCTCCTCTTTGTAGCCTCCTACTTCAGGCTCTCAACCTCCGCACTATCGGAATTGGCAACATCGAGTTCTTCATCGATGACGACGGGCTTGTCACCAAAGCGATCGGAGCGATGCACCACCTTGAGCAGGCCGATTTTGCACAATGCGTCTCCGCTTTACCAGATTTTTTGTCAAGCCAGAATCTTAGCTCTTTGACACTGTATTTCGACGAGGACATCCTCGACGTCCCCGCTCTCTTTGCGGGCCTCTCCTCCGCCCCAAGCGCACTACGCACTCTGATAATCACATTCAACCATGTCCTCAGTGCGCCGCCGATGTGTGCTTTCCACAATTTTGCTCTTTCCTCAGTTCGTCACCTTGACGTCACCTCCTTTCCGGGCCCAGTCCCTGCACACATCATCACGCTTTGTCCCAACATCGACATGCTGTCGCTCGGGCTCCTCCACCAGGATAGTTCCCCCGCCACGTTCTCGACGTCGACGGAGGACCGATGGCCCGCACAACTGAAAGATCTCTTTCTTCCGATAAGCATCGCCATCGCAGAAGACACCGTCCAACGTATGAAGCCCGTATCCTGCTTATCGTTTGGTGAAGAGACCCCGATCCCCGGCGGGGTCGACTTCGAGGAGCCGGAAGACGCCGACGGATCGGACTTCGAAGAGCCAGAGGAAGACGACGGATCGGACTTCGAAGAGCTAGAGGAAGCCGGTGGATCGGACATCGAAGAGCAGGAAGCTGGCAGATCGGAGTTTGAGGACCTGCTCCGGCTCCTCGAAACCTTCCGCCCCGCCGTCCTCGAACTCCACACGAAAAGTGTTCTCGCCGAGGCAGGCCGAATGTGGGACACACTGTGCGGCGCGGCGCCCCAGCTCCGTTCCCTCTCGATCGTTGTGGAGGATGGCGAAAATTGCGACGTGCGCGAATACGTGGTGCGTCCTTTTCCAGTCTGACTCCGCACGACTTGCCGATCCTCTCGCGACCACAGGATCCACTCATCGCCGCCCTCCGATCGACCTCGCTCATCTGCCTCTCCCTCGACTTCCCACGCCCCAGCTGGCGCCTCGACTTCTCGAACATGGCCGACGTCCACAGCATCTGCATCCCCGAGATCCAACGTGCCGAAACGCTCCGAGCGCTCCCCTTGCGACTCGCCGAGGCCGTCCCGTCGCTCCGCGTCCTCGCACTCTCGTCGTGCAAGCTCGGCAGAGTCTTCAACTGGGGGGTATGCTACGATCTGGCTGGGCCACGGATGATCGCAGAAATTGGGCACGAGGAGGGGATTCAGCGGCAGTGGGGACCGGGAAGTGAGTTCCTCAATGCGCCGATGCGGAAGATAAGTGAGCTCGGGGCAGAGTTCCCGCGCGACGAGCGGTGGTGGTGGGTCGAGGGCGAGGGCGCGGCGCGGAAGCCGGTCGAGATTTGGCGGGAGGACGGGGAGCGGGCGCGGGACCTCATCCGGCGCGCGGACTTCGATCCCGAGAAGGGTCTCGATGGTGAGTGGGCATCGTGCTGGACTCGTTTGCGCTTTCGCTGATGGGCTCTTTTCGCAGGACTTTACTCGGACAAGTGTCGCTATGAACGGTAGCCCGGATTGAGGCTATATCGTGCGTGTGTTCACCGCGTATATTTGCACTATTCGAGCATAGTACTATACTTCCAAATTCGCTCAATTACCATTTGCTGCTCAGGTTTTGAACGCGCAGATTTCACATCATAGCACATCGCTGACCATGGCTCTTGTAAGGTACTACATTCTCGCCCATCTTATGCGCCGCACAACAAACGTCGACTTAACACGCGGGATCAACGGGGTACGGTGTTGGAGATGACTTTCGCGTGCCACCCCAAGTTTCACGGCGGTGGGCGCGGACGTAGAGAGACGGGCCCTCGCAGTGATTATCAGTGCGACCCCAGTCATGGAACCGTCAGCCGGCCGGATCAGGTAGGGACTTCCGCACCCTTGAGCCAAAACCTGCCAGGATCATCTACGGGAGAGTCTACCATTCCGCAGAATTGACAAAGCCACTGTTGTACATCGTACACGGGGTCGCCGTCTTACCTCTTCGTGGCGCTGTCCTACTCCCATAGCGCACACATACTCGGTGAGCATATGCATTACAACGTTCAGCCAGGCTACTGCTCGTAGCGACACTTGTCCGAGTAAAATCCTACCAGCAAAGCTAATCAGCGACAGCGCGAACGAGTCCAGCACAAATAAAACCCACCATTGAGACTCTTCCCGGGATCGAAGTCCGCGCGTCCGATTAGGTCCCGCGCCCGCTCCCCGTCTTCCCTCCAAATCTCGACCGGCGTCCGCGTCGCTCCCTCGCCCTCGATCCACCACCACCGCTCGTCGCGCACGATCTCCGCCCGGTACTCCTCTATCTTCCGCATCGATGCGTTGAGAGACTCGCTGCCTCGCCCCCAACGCCGCCGGATCTCCTCCTCGCGTTGAAGCCTCGTGATCGGCAGCGGCGGGGCCAGAGTGCGAAATAGGGGCCCCGAGTCGAAGTCCAAAGTGCCGGGTGTGCACGACGAGAGTGCGAAGACGCGGAGAGACGGGAGATCTTCGGTGAGCCGGAGAGGGAGCGACCGGAGGGTCTCGACGCGGCGGACCTCCGCGGCGCAGAGGTCGTCGGCTTCCCCCATGGTTGAGATGTGGGGGCCCAGGTCTGTGGGCGTGAGGCGGAGGGAGAGGTGGACGATCGAGGTGGATCGGAGGGCGGCGATGAGTAGATCCTGCATGTGCGGGAGGATCAGCGCTGACCTTTCGCTGGGCAGTACGGCGAGGGGACGTACGGCGTAATCGCGCAGATTGCCTTCGGAGGCTGCGACGACGATTTCCAGGGAGCGGAGCTGCGGCGCTACGACGGGAAGAGTGTCCCGCATGCGGCTCAGCCCGGAAGGGACGGGCTTCGTCTGAAGATTGAGGGTGGTGGGTCGGAAGACCTCGAGGAGCGGGAGGAGGCCTTCGAAACCGTCCTCGCCGGACATTGCACTGCCAACCCCGAACGATAGCCGGTTGACGTGCTTGACGCGCTGAATAGTGTCCTCCGCAAGGGTGAAATACAAGGGGAGGTCGAGCTCTTTTAGTCCAGCTGGCCATTGGTCCTCCGCCGACATGGAGAACGCAGTGTGGACGGGACCACGCATCCCAGTAAGAGGCAATGATAATGTAAGAAGGTTGGGACATAGCGTCACGATGCGTACGGGAACGGGGCCAGGGATGGCGCTGAGGGTAAGATGATGAATTGAAGGAAGGGTAAAGTCGTTTGAAGTGGGCGGAGGCAGCGAAGTGTGGACGTAGTTGAACGCTAGATCGAGTGTGCGTATGCTCGAGACGGAGGCGAGGGAGGACATGAGTGCGGGAAGGTCAATGCTGTCCCCGCCCCTGTAGTAGGCAATGTCGAAACCCAGTGTCAAAGCGGTGAGTTTCGGACTGGATAGCATGGCTGACAGAGAAGAAACCGTCTTGGGGCCGATACGTAGCAGACGTGCCTTCTCAAGGTGGCGCATCGTGCCGATGGCTTGGATGACGGGCCCGTCGTAACGGAGGAAGTACTCGCATTTTTCGATGGTGATGGTGCGGAGATTGGAGGCTTGAATGATCATGTCGTGTAAGGGTGGCCGTTTGACTATGTGGTAGCCAAGGGTGAGATGGCGGAGATGTTGGACGCGGGGGATTTGAGACAACGGTTCAGGTGCGCACATGTAGCGCGAAAGGGCGAGGGCTCTGGAGCCGTCGTCTCCGCCCGTGTTGCGAACTGTACCCCAGGATCGGTGGACGAAGACACGAGAGATGGCGAGTCTATATGCGCGTGTGGAGGTGGAAGCTGCGGCTAGTGCCGCCTTGGAATCCAGGAAGGAGAAAGTCGCGAGAAGGACGTCGTCATTGAGAGAGAGGAGGCCTGGAGAGCGGTTCATCTCGGGGGACTTTAGAGGGACGTATGGAACTACGAGGGAGAAGGAGATAATAGTACCATTGAGGCAGTGTATGATTGATTAGATGAGTTGGAGCCTGAGGCCGGTCGTCGAGCCGGTGTCCTGGAGGCTTTGCTGGCGGCCTAAGTGCGTGGGTCTGAGCTGCCTGGCAGTAGGGTGCGGTGGGTGCGAAGGTCGAGTCAGAGGAAGCAGAGAGAGAGAGAGAGAGAGAGAGAGAGGGCAGTTCAATCACCTCCTCTACCGGAGGCGATCCCGGAACGCTACTTAGATAAGCACGGCAGCACGCCGACTCCCGCGCTGTCCTGTAGACGCCCCGCCGTCCGACAAGTGGCCGCACGAGCACATATAGTGTGTACTGTAATATACTATGTACGAAAGACACAAGAGAGGCAACGAGCGCCGTCTGGTGCTGAGCGCTGAGCGCGCGTTGAGCCGGGCGTCAACGTCTGCATCGGCCTTCGTCTCTTCTCTTTATCCCTCCTCCTCCTCCTCCTTCTCTCTCCGGCGTCGTCCTTTCTCCGCTCTCTGGTCGACATGAGGATGTTATGTGCCGCGCTTAAGGTCCCCCCTTTCTACACACTGGCACATCGCTGAATGCTCAGCAGTCTCACGCGGACTTGCTTTCCGGTTGGCCCAACGCACTCTCAAGCACCGACGCAACACATCGCGGCGTACCACCTCAGGCCGATCTAACTGCCATCGTCGAGGAGGGCGGCCGTTGCTCGCACGAGCTTGCCGGCGATGTAGAAGCGAAGATTCCTGATCACTTCGGTAATGGCAGACAGCTGGGGCGGATGCATCGGGTGTATAACAGGCTGGGACATAGTATGTCTTCTTTACCCTCGGCTATATATTTCTTGCGTTCTGCACCATCAGGGAGCCTCCACGCCCACACATTCCTCCTGTTCTTGTGAACCCGCACCTCGGAGTTCAGCGCTCCCAGAAAGACTCTCCCCCGTCGCTCGACGACGGCGCATATGCCTCTCCTCTCCCTCAACGAAGACGCTCTCTTCCCAAATTTCCTCACCGACGCCCTCTCGGTGTCGCGCGCTTCCCGTTTCGCTTATCGCGTCGACACCCCTAATGTCTCCTCAAGTCTGTAGAGATATCGAGGCGGAAAGACGGTGGTTCTCAAGCACAAGCGTTCGTAACTGCGAGTACATGCTCAGACGTCGGCGTCGACGTAGTTTAGTGTCCTAGATCCCCCTCACCCACCGCCTCCGCCTGTTCTTTAAACCTGTAGACGTCCCGCCCGTGGCGTGGTGCCATCCTCACAACGGGTGGGGGACGATCGTCGCGCGGGACGCAGATGGATGGCCTTCGCTCCGTGAGCCGTTTTCCTTCTCGTGCATGTCCACCCCCAGAGATCCGGTCAGTTTCTCCAGCGACAACATCGCCCTACCTACGGGGACCTCGTATATGCGACGTTGTTTTCCCCGACGCTGTGGCCCGGGTCTTTCATATCATCGTTGGGTTTGTCGACTAAGACGTGTCGATGTTCACAGTGAGTCGTCTTACGAATCGTTGAAGTCGTTGTGCATATCTGATGGGACATTCCGCAGACATTGGCCGCGCTGGAGCCTCTCCCACTTCTTCACTTGCGCGTCAACTTCTGGGCAGCATCGATGATACCTGAACCCGGCAGTATGGTCACCCTTTCCCCCCCGTCCGTTCCACGTCCTCGCTTGGGGGTCGTATTATACCGCCTCGTGCACTTTCGTCACAATCAACGGCTCACGAGCAGGTCGCATCCCCGATGGCGATCCACCAAGATCAAGAAGAGGATAGTATAAAAAGCGCATGCCTCGGTGCGACGCTCGCGCGGTTGCGGGCGCCGCCACAGTGTGAGAACGTGGATCCAGGAGGGATGGCTCGTGGAGACCTGGCAGTGGGCGAGAGGGTGCGCACTCTCATCTATCGGCGGTGAGTACTTGTACTTGAGTGGTTCTGCTCTCTCTCTCTCTCTCTCTCTCTCTCTCTCTCTCTCTCTCTCTCTCTCTCTCTCTCTCTGTGATTTCCCGTCTCGGCGGTCGGCCGCGCCGCAGTCCGACCCCGCAGCTCTTCCCAGTCAGTGATGCTGAGACGGTCGCCCGGCTAGACTCTCCCAGCCGTCGAGACACCCAGACTCCGCCGATTGAACACGTAGTCGACGTCCCCGAGAACTCGCGTCACCCGGGTCTGTCCCCCAAGACCGACAGGCCTCGATCACAGGGTCGGCCGCACCTCAACACGCAGAATGCCTGTACGTGGTTTGCAGGACAAAAGTGTACATGAACGAGTGCTGGCCCTGCATCACCTGCTACGGTTCGTCAGAGTAGTTCCTCTCTGGTCCCGACCTCATAGATCTCATTCTGACGCGCCTGTTGACCCCAGAGTTCGTCTGCGACGCGTGCGAGGGGAAGCCGCTCACATGCGGCCGTTCCCGCAGTCAACGTGGTTCTACGGCCACAAAAGCGGCGAGTACACGCCTCTCGCACGCGCTCGACGCTGCCCGTGCTGACCCTTTCGTGCCCAGACGCTTCCTTGTGCGTGATGTGCGTGGCGCACAGCGCCCGAGTGACCACCGAACAGCACGTTTACACGCATTCGATGATCAAGTTCACGCCCTGCCACGATCCCAGCGCGCCGGATGACGGTGGGGGCAAGGACAACGGGGCGCGGGCGCAGCGGCTCGCCGCGCTCGGGGGCGGGTGAGCAGCGATGGGTGCGCGATTTGAGCGGCTGGAGGTATGGGTCGCGGCGCTGCAGGGGGAAATGGCATATGGAGGAGGGGCTGGTGCATGCGCTCTGATCCCACGCCTGTTCTCCGCGGTGCACCTTGTCTCTTATGTCGCCAAGAACCCCTACCTCCCACGCATCGCATCCCCACGAGAATAGCATTCTAGTACCGGGTTGTGTACGCGTAGGTCAGGCGTGCAGTCCGGCTGGGCTCATAGGCGTAGTCGTTGTGATCTATTGCCTCTGGAAATAAATTGCAAGTCACACCGACACCTCGGTAGCCCGATGATGCTCTAGTCCCGACCCAGGAATTTAAGACGGAAGTGCAAATACTGTTCGAACATGGCCGGAGGAGGACCGATAGGGTAGCCTCTGCGGAGTGGGTTGGAGAAGGAGATCCTTGCATTGTCTTTGTAGTCTACTACACGGCGTGGCGACGCATGTCCATGGAGCAGGGCCGCTACCGCGAAATCTCGCAAGAACCAACACGGGAGCACTCACCATCCAGCGTCGTCACCGGATCGACGAACGCACTCGCTCTCGATGAGCCCGCGTGCCTCTTCTCCGACCTCCCTCTTGCGGATCTCGTCCCTGCGCCCGTCCCTCGTCCCACCACCACCGCTGGTTCAGCCGCATGACGCACCCTCCGACCTGAACGGACACCTGGCCTTTGTCGGTGTCGTAGGAGGTAGGCGCGGGCGACGAAAGCACGAGGGAGAGAAACGTAGAGATCGTCCACGCGAGGCCACGGAGCCGGGAGCAGAGCTGTGACAAAGGGGCGGAGAACTTGTCGCCGTCGCTGGCGGTGCGGAAGATGTGATAGGCCATGTGAGGTCGGAAATTCGAGCTGGAGGTGCGGCAAAGAGAAACGAGACAAAGAGGGCTTGATGGCGTGAAAAAACGAAAACGTACGGAGGCGGCGCGATGAACGAGGGTAAGGACACTCACCGGAGCCAGCCTCTTTCCAACAGCATGGGTGCACGTCCAGAAGCATCTCCATCTCCTGGGAGGTCGTAGACACGACAGGGCTTATGTTTCTCCATATCCAGAGACAGCGATGACCTGCCAGTGAAGGGCAAAATTTGTGTCGTCGGTCGGCAAGCAAGTCGGGGATTTTTGAAGACGCTGTGCTTACAGGGCGGAAGACAGATTGCATGGCGCAGATGAGAAGTGAAAGGAAGCCGACGAGGTCGAGGGGAAGGAGAAGAGACGCAGACGCGCAAGGCACCCACCCACAGCTGTCGCGACTCCTGCTCACAGGCGCGTGATCTGCGGCGTGCGCGTATCGATGGCCTCGTCTTTCTCCCCTCCTAGTCCCTCTCCTCCCGCGACACCACGCGCCAGTCTGCCGGCTGGTGGTCCCAAAAACCTACCCCGCACACGTCGCCATAGCCAGAATATGGCTTCCACCTCCCTCCTATCGCTGAACGACGACGTTCTCATCGAAATCTTCTCCCTCCTAGACTGCAAGGAGGCACTGGCGACGTCGTACACCTCCAAACACGCTTATCGACTAGCCATATCCCATGCCTTTACCAGTCTGCGCTGGTGCAGTGACAAGTATGGGTCCGTGCCCGAAACCGAGTCCTCTGAGCCCTATGCCATGTGGGAGTACATGCGCGCACCAGAGCCACTTTCTCAGGTCCCTCGCGTTCAACACCTCCAGCACTTCACCACGCAGTTCTTTCAACAAGTCGACGTACCGCCTCTGCAGCAACTCCTCAGCCACGCCTCCAACCTCCGCACCATCGAGCTCTGGCACTTCGAATATTTTGTCAAAGAAGACAGAGAAAGTCTCAGCCGAGCAATCAGCGCGATGCACTACCTCAAGCGAGCGCGTCTGGTATCTATCGCCTTTGAGACGATCTCTCTTCTGCCAGCCATGTTTTCAGGCTCGAAAATTGCCTCGTTGGACCTCCATTTGGCTTACTCCTACAACGATCCAGATCACACTCCCAAGCTTGCGGCACTCATATCCGTCCTTGGCTCCCTCCCGAGCATACACACTTTTACGATCGACTTCAACCGTGTCTCCGTGCTATCGAACACCCTCGGAAGAACCAATAGAAACCTTCCCTCGATCCACCACCTCTCCCTCGTATGTTCCTCAGAGGTGGCCACGAGTTTCGTGACGCTATGCCCCAACCTTCTCACGTTGTCCTTAAGGCTGCATGGCAAAAACCCGATATTATCTGTGGGGGTGGGCGACCGCTGGCCTGCTGGCCTGAAGGAGCTCAGTATCCAATCGCATTGCGTCGTTACCAAAGACACGGCCCGACGGATAGGACACGTCGACCATGTATCGTTAGTGGACGACTTGGAATCACCACCCGGTGGCCCTGGTGTCCTCGACTTCCTCCCGCTGCTCGAAGCAATCCGGCCCTTCGCTCTCACACTGCAGATGAGACCTGTCCTGACCGAGCAGGAGCACGTGTGGAAGTCCCTTTGCATTGCCGCGCCTCACCTCCGCTCCCTCAAGGTCAAAGCGGGAGGGTGCAACGTGCGCGACTACGTGGTACGTCCGCCTGTCCTTCCACCGTGCGCCCTTTCTCCACACTGACCCTCCCGCGCCGCCCGACCAGGACTCGATGCTGCCCGCGCTGAAATCCTCGTCGCTTTTCCACCTCAGCCTCCATTTCCCGCCGCCCACGCACCTATTGTTCACCCCGAGCAAGACCGAGGTCGACGACCGGCGTGCGACGGAGGCCTGCCGGGTCGAGGCGCTGCTCTCTCCCCCCCCCCGGCTCGTCGCGGTCGCACCGTCGCTCAGGCTCATCGCGCTGCGCTCCTGTCTGCCGCGGACCAGTGGGTCGAACGAATTCGACAATCTTCAGGCCCGCGCGGAGCTCGCGCGCGAGGACGAGAACGAGCAGTGGTGGGGCCGGACGAGCGAGTTCGTGCGCCCCGCGTTGGGGAGGCTGCGGGAGCTCCGGAAGGAGGTCCCGCGCGACGACCGGTGGTGGTGGGTCGAGGGCGAGGGTGCGGCGCGCCGACCGGTGGAGATCTGGCGGGAGGACGGCGAGCGGGCGCGGGCGCTGATCGAACGCGCGGACTTTGACGCTGCGAGGAGTTTCGACGGTGAGCGCTGGTGTCTGTCGTACACGCGGGAGCTGATCGGTTCTGTTGTCAGGGTTTTATTCCGCGAAGTGCAGGTATGAGCGGTAGGCCGTACCGAAGTATGAAATGGACACCAGAGATAAGTGGAGGCGCGCGTGGGCGGGAGATGCAGAGATTTGGACGCGGTGTGTACCTCAAGCGCGGCAAGGAGCTGCTCAGTTGCGCCGTCTCGCGACGTATGATAATGAGACGTATCGTGTACTTGCGCGCGTTGCGATAACGGTCTTCGATCACGACTCGGAAGGAGTGGCGCCGCGGCGCGACAGCGAGGTCAGAGGACGAGAAGAGGGATTGGAAGACATGTAAGTTCTCCTAGACAAACGACTCCCAGATATCGTTCATTCCTGATCCCTGCCCAGGAATGGACCATACGTCCGCACCCTCATGAAATGTGTCTGCCATCTATGCACCCTTCTACGGGTTTTGAAGGCATCCCACGCACCGCGCTTGTGGAACTATCATCGTCCTCGGCGCCGAAGGGACCCGTGCACGCGTATCGTCTCCCTGATGTTGACCAGTGCGATCTCCGGCCCGGGCGACTTCAATTTCCGCTTTTAACAGTCCGCGGCCGACCCCTTCTTCTCCCCTGCGTCTCTTCTCTGATCTCTTGAGATCGTGGTGACAGTAGGTGAGTGCGACGTGCGTGAATACATGGTCCGTCCCCTCTTCGTCCTGAAGTTCACCGCTGCTCTGTCCGACCCTCCGTGACGCCAGCAACCCCTGCTCGCGCACCCCGGTCGACTCCCGAGCTCTTCCATGTCTCTCTGCACTTCCCGGCCGCTGTCCCTCGCCGCCACGCATCAGGCATGGCATCGCCAAGGTGGACACCTGGCGCGCGAGGCCCGCCGCGTCGTGGCGTCCCGTCCACTCACGCTCCAGTTCGCTGAGGACGTCCCGTCGATCTGCGTAGTTGCACTCCGTGTGTCTCCCCGGGTCGACTGGCTTCGACGCCACGCGCGCGCGCGCGCGGTGCTGGAGGATATGCCCCTAGTAGAGCTGATGGCCAAGCGTCGAGTGGCGGTGGGGACAGACGAGCAGGTTCGTCAGCCCTGCGCTGCGGCGGCTGCGGGAGTTCAGGAAGGAAATTTCGTGCGGCGGGCGGCGGTATCAGTGGGCAGAGAGCGAGGGTGCGGCACGCAGGCCGGTGGAGATATGGAGGGGGGATGACGTGCAGGCGGAGGAGATGAGCAAATGCGTGGAATTGACCCAGACGAGGAGCCACGATGGTAAGCGTTTCCCAGCGATAGCTCACGACATATAGATGCATGTATGCGCGTGATTCACTCATGAAGCGAGGCAATGTATGGGCGACGATATTCGGCTTCCTCATTCGCACAACTCTTTGTCCTCAACGCTCATCTATTATGACGTCGAGCTTCTTTATATCCGCAGCGTGCACGCTTCCTGTAGTATTCTGGCAAGATGGAAATCACAAAGGAGTACATCGGAGTTGAACGATGGAAGTTCATGTGCTAGTAGGCTGTGGCGTCGTGGCTCGGGATGGTAACAAGTCATATGTTCGCTCTCTTTTTGATGCCAAGTTCAGCTCGGAACGAATTTGAACTCAGGAATGTCATTCCGGCATGCCCAAGAATATTTAATAGATACATCATAACCTAGCTGCAGCACCGCACAGACTCCCCAATACATACAATTCGAAAATCAGAAAGCAAGAAACACCGCCGCCGCATTTGGGCCATATCGAGATACACAATCCAGCAGCATGAGATGTTTGGTTGTGCTGTCCCGGACATGATAACTTCTCTCTAGGCCAGGTTCCGCGCACCAAGCCTTGAAACCGATATGCCTATGCCGTGCTGTCCACGTCCTCCGTCACCGGTATTTCTTCTTCTTCCGAGGCATTGACTTCGTCCAGGATCCGAAGATCGGCTCCGATGGATCCCATAGCGTCCACTGCGAACCGCAGGGATCCGATTCCAACCTGGGATTCCGATGCGGCGGACGAGTGGAGCGGGTCGTCTGAGCCGAGCTTGATTGTCCGCTGATGAGCCTCCTGTAGGTCAAGCAGGAATCGCGAGACCAGGACCGTAGTAAGACTGTGAAAGATATGAGAACGTGCCAGTACTACGAGCACTGCAGGGTATACTTACGGATCGCCGAAATTGGCGATCAAGGAGACTTGAGAAGGGGATATGAACTGGTGCTCATCGTATTAGAGATGGAAGGATGGAACACCGCATACTATACTGCTTACCCCTCTCAAGGTGGTTGCCATGCGAAGAGTGTTCAGAATGAGAAAAACACTTGAAAAACACCGCGCAATAAAAACACATTGGACAAGAGCTCGAAGGAAAATTTGCAATACGTACACGAAATACACGGCTCCTGTGAACGAGTCATAAATCAGCATGTTGTCAGCGAGAGAAAATAACGGACCATTATGTAGCATGACGTTGATTAATGTTCGTGGAGAACTAGTGATCCCCCGATGGTCCAGTTTCATTCCCGAAGATCGGACAGTTTTCCAGGTCAGAAAGATGGCGATTCCATCTGCGAGGATCAGCAGTGACCGAGAAAGTACCGCTCCTGAAGCAGACCAGATCAAACGCTACAGGGGAATATACAACTGCTAATCCAGGAGTGCGTACCACTGTGTGATCAGAGGCGTTAGAAATCACAAACACCGCACTTCGAGAGCATACTCACGTTATCAGGAGCGGCCTGGGGATTGGCAGGACATTCACGAGGCAACCCCAAGTTGGATCACTGAAGCTCTGTGTCCGATATTGAAAGATACCCTGCTTTTAGGAGCCACATTACGGCCGTGCAGATGAATGAATGAAGAGCTGACACGCACAAAGTTGATGCCCACATTCACAATGGAAAATACCAGCACTAGGATTGCAAGCGGGCGGCTTTGACTCAGCGCTAGTGCGCGCATTGCGGAGAATGCTGGCGGATATTGCTCATAATTATTATCGATCGAGTGATAGGCAGTGTCATACGCACCTGCAGGAGGAAGTGGTTGTATATATTCCAAGACCCTCAAGGTGTTGCCTAGCGTGGTGCACCTGTTATGCACGAACTTGAGCTCAATGAAGTTAAGAACATTGTGCATTAGACTGACGTCTGCAAAGCATGAGAAAGTGAGTGCAGAAATCCAGGGAAAATCAATGAAGACACACCTGGTCGGTAAATGGGTGAAATTCAATGAACAACCCAATTTGATAAAGAGGGGCGAGATAGCGATTCAAGATGAATAGTACTGTCGGTCCGGATACTCGCCGGTTCCAGAAGAAATTGACCTCTCGGCCGAATGTGAGGAAATGGTCGAAGATGATGATGACTTGTAGATTTGAGCCTCTTTCCATAGCTCATATGTACAGAGTACTGACCAGATGCTGCAACCAACACGTATTCATCGGTGTAACTATATGGTCATACCGAAGAGGTAATGAGAAGTGCTTTTATTTCGGAAGAATAGGACATACAGTTCTTGATATTCTTCTATCACTTGCGAAATTTGGTCGCCAAGGCCTTCCGTTGACATTTTGCAGCGGTGGGAGGATGGTGGAAATGGTGTAGATCTCTTGTTTATATGAGGCCTCGTAGAGCGCCACACAAACACTGCAACAATGATGCAGTCTCGTCCTGGGGAGATCTTCAGGGACGAATTTTGACGGCGACAACGAATGCTGCATGCACGCACTTAGTGTCTCTCGATGCATAGTAAGAGACCACATCAAGGGGTGTATCCGCCGTCCCATGTCTACAAATATTGATAGTATACACCACCACGGCGGCTCGGACCGTCCGGCACGCGTTCGGACAGTGCATCGCGCCAGTGTCTCTGGGGACGGTCAGGGACAATCGCCGTGCTCATCGGAAAGCTGTCATCGGGCGCGAAACACGCAGTGTTCAGAATGGAAACCCCGTCGGAGCTCCCATGGGCCCGCTCGTGGCTTGGCCGCCTGCATTGCACGCGCCGCCACGCGAGCTCTTTCTTCTCCCCAACATCACCAACAAAGTGTGAGCCTGTCCGAAAGACCGTCGGGATGAACCCTGGACGAGTGTATCGCGATCCATAACAGGAAACCCTCAACGACGCCGGCGAGTCCACCGTCTCCCGCTTCATACACCACCTCTCCTGCAATGGCACCATGCATTGAACTTTACGACTGGTTCGCCGCCGCGCCTAACGCCCTCCGAACGCTCCCGCTGCGCCCCGCACAGGCCGTCCCGCGTCCTCGCGCCCTCCTGTGCATCGGCCCGGGCGCTCCGAGAGGAGATGCTACACGAGGAGCAGTGGTCGTGGATCGAGACCGAGGGGGTCTCGCCGTCGAGACAGAGGGAGATATGGCGGGAGGACGGCGAGCGGGTGCAGGACTTGATCCAACGCCAGGACTTGGAAGACACTCGAGGGTGAACGTGTCTGTTCCTGAATGTGTGCGCGCGGTCGCCAATCGGCTCCTTGCAGGATTCTACTCTGCCAAGGTTCGCTATGAGCGGTGGCTTGACACGGTAGTCTACGTTCTACCAATGACTTAGTATACGAGCGTCACGCGTCGTTACAGTCGATACAAATTGTTTAAACCGCTTGATAAGAGGTATCATAGCGCGCGACGGAGCGAGAGACCAAGGCGAGCCGCCGCGGAGAAATGAACTCACGACTCTATGGGCCCTGTTCAGGAGTCGTCAGTTCGTGTGTTGTCGTCGAGGCTCAGAAGAAACCTTGCTGTCTGCCCCATCTCTTCGTCCCAGAATATGTTCCGAGGGGTCCCCGCACCGATGCGTGCATCCCGGCCGCGGCATCGAGAGAGACGCTCTCGAATCAGCGCGCAGGTGGGCTCCGTGGGAAGCGGCCTGTCGAGCACGCTGTCCTACAGTAGCGGAGAAGCACCGCCGCGCGGCATGTCCCGCTCGGGCACGGGAAAATGGAGGCGTGGTCCGAGGTCGGTGTCAGAAAGCTGTATAGACGTAGTGACACATCCGCTGCGTCGCAAATTCGGCCACATCTCAGCAGGACAGCTGCATCGCCCGGGTACTCACCTCAAGTGAGCACTGAGTCTTGAACGTACCTGTCTGAAGACTCACCGGATAGTGGACGCAGATGCGTGGCTCATGTCGCGTACACGGCCCGCACCTGATAACCTATCACGAGTCTCCGCTTTGTGCAACGCGCGCCAGGTCTGCAAGCCCACTCGCTGACCAGCTTAGCAGACCTGCTGTCGCGGACGAGAAATGCGCAGACTTCCAGAGATCTGCTACAGGCACTTTCAGTATTGATGTACGGTATTCGCGCGAGAAACAACGAGGCAACTCACACGCCGGCGTCGTCGCCGTGTCAAATGCTGACCCTTGACGAGCTCAGGCACGGCGTCCACGTCGTCCTCCGGGACTCCCTGACCTTCCGCCACGAAGCGTTGAGGAACAGGCTCGCAGGGCCGCACCGGAAGTGAGCGCGGTAGGCCTTCGTGGCAGGGCAGCCACCGACTTAATGCATGCTGGACGCACATCTGCGGGCGAGGGTGGGCGGGCAGGTGGGCGAGCTGCGTAAACTTCATCGCAGCAAGCAACGACTCCTGTAGCACAATGAAGATCAGCGCGCGGAAAGTGGGACGCAGAGGGGAGTCAGGACATGAGCATACCATGTACTCGTGTGCGTTCCAGTCGCTGTCCATACCTTCGAGCGAACGGAACTGCAGCGACAGCGCGGCGGATGCATGGTAAAGACGGGGAAGAGACATTATTGGTGGCGTGCTGGCCTCTTCCCAAAATAAGGCAGCCCCAAGAAACAGCCCAATGAACGTCCGCACCTCGTACAGATGGGAAGCGAAGAGGGCAATGAGGGAATACTCACCGTTCAGAGCCGTCGCCGAGTACGACCCGCGCTCCGCGAGTGCCGTCGATCCACTACCGTTCATGGTCCTGAAAGACGCTGTGTGTTCACGCCGTCCGCAGCAATGCTTCCTCTTCAGATAGGGTGTGTACTGCGTCACCGCCTCGTCCTTCGAGGGACGAGTAGCCGTGGCACACCTTCATGTGTACCGGTGGGCGCACGTGCAACGAGCAACCCGTCTCAAATAAGTCTTTAACAGACCGATAGACATTTCTGAAAGGCCGCCTTCGTGAGAGGTGACTGGTGAGCCGCGAATAGAATGAGGAAGAGGACGGTGAGCTGCGTTGCGCGGCTCGGCAGTCAAAGTTTGAGCCCCGATGTGTAAGCGCTCCATGAGATAAGATTAGATGGTTGCAGACGCCGGCCTCAGGCCTCGCCGACATCTGCGCATGTTCCTCCTCCTTTTCCTTTCTCCTCCCAGTCAGTTCTACCCTGCAGGTCAGACGCAGGGAGATTACAAGCACCAACTCCACACACCAGTTTCCGTCTTGACAGCCCATCTGAGTCGTGCGCAGAAGAGTCGATGTCCCGGCAAGGTTCGAAAGGGCGCCGCCGGGGAAGTCGTACTTATCGTCGTCGTCGAGGACGATCTGGTCGAAGATGCCTGGATCCGTGTCGCTGTACGCGCCGAGGAAGGTGACAGTGCCGTTCGGAGTGCCGTTCCCTGAGCCGCCAATGCGGGCCTGAGTGTATGACGAGTAGAACTCGATCACTGCGAGGTGGAGAGCGATGACCTCGTGGCGGATGAGGTACTCGCCGGGGGTGAGGTTGTTGGGGAGCGTGATGATGAAGGACTCGCCGTTCACTGCGAAGGTACGCGGGTTGGGATGGGTGCGCGATGAGGAGTAGAACACGACTCACTAATATCCGCGTGCAACCAAGTCTTTCCGTCGCTCTTCTTCCCGATCTGGTCGATCTTGAACCATTGCACGTCCGTCGAGTTGGACTAGTCGCGGGCGACGTCCCCGCACGACGCCATGTAGGTCATCAAAGGACCCGTGTTGTATGGCCGCTGCACACGCCTCGATCAGCACCTCCAAGCCGCGCGGCCAAACTAAAGTACGTACCTTCTGGCCCGCACCGCCCGACCACTGGGACGCGGCGGTGCTCCCGGAGTTCGCGGGGGCAACGATCTCGGCCGGCTGCGCATTGAGACCACAGAAGAGGTCCGGGTTGGACGCGCCCTTACGGGGCTGATGTCAGAGATGGGGGGGATGGGGCTGGGGCCTGCGCGTAGCGTTCAAAGGCTGAGCGTGGAGGTGGAAATACAAACACGTACCCTTGGGGACGTTGCTGAGGTACCTCGCACCATCAATCTCAAGCCAGCTTACGAAGCCATGGTCTGCGACGAGAGGAAGCGTGGCGGCGGGTGAGGCGGTAGATGTGGTAACAGCAGCTGAGGTCTCCATACTGAAGGTAGTTGGAGGGGCACGGAGGATGAAAGGGGGTATCTTAATCAGGCTCGGAAGCAGGGAGATCGATGCCGAGGTTCGCCGTAGAGAAAGGCTGCGAAGTTGAGAGCTCAGCTCGTTCAAAAAGTGGGAAGGAACACGAGGCCCATCTGCAGACGGCAGACGAGCTTTGTACGCCCGCTCGCGTGAAGAGCAGAGCGTGGTGGAGGTGCACAAAAGAGAGTACGCCGGACTCTATCGTTTGCCGCTCTTGTCGGAAAAGCACCAAGGTCGGTACCGCGGAATCTCCTCACAACCAACACGGATGTACTCACCATCCAACGTCATCCCCGGATCGACGTCCGCGCCGCTCTCCACGAGCCCGCGTGCCCTTTCCCCATCCTCCCTCTTGCGGACCTTGACCGCGTTCGTCCCTGCGCCCGTCCCTTAACCCAGCACCACCGCTAGTTCAGCCACATGACACCCCCGTCCGCTGCTTCCGGCATGGGCATAGTCTATGGGAGACGAGGATGAGGAAGGAGGAGGCAGGCTTAGCTTGATGCATGATGGGAGAAGAGGACAGGGAGGGGTCGACGATAGACGCCAAAATTCCGACCCAATTTGCCTCCTCCCACTTCTGGCCCTCGCTTGGCCTCATCTCTCTCTCTAGTCCGTCCTTCTGTCTTTTCTCCCACTATTTCAGGCTAGAATTGTACCGCTCGCAAGCCACTCGCAAGATACTGATGACGACTCGTGGCCGGTCCGCGACCTTGAATATCCTTCTCATGTCATTCAACTTTCTGGGCCGCGACGATGCGCTCGGCGCGACCGCTTCCACCTCGAGTCGGTCCGACGTCACGTTCTCGCCCCGTCTTCCCCGAACGCTGACTGGGACTTCCCTCGCCCCAACCAGGAGCCGCTCCTCGCCGCACTGCGATCCGCATTGCTAGCGCTTGTCCACCTGAGTCTCCCCTGCACTTATCGCGCGGAGCTGGACTGCTGGTGCACGACCGAGGCTCGCCGTATAGAAGCGCTCCGCCAACTCCCTCTGCGGCTTGTCGATGCCGTCCCGACACTTCGCGCCCTCTCGCTCTCCCCTTGTCTCCCTGGATCTACAGGCGCGCGCGCGCGCAGCACACGGACCTCGACCCGGAGGTAATGGCCGAGCTCGTGTACATGTACTCGGTGTCGCGCGCGTTCCGCACGCTGTCTTTGATCATGACTAGGAATAAGCGGCGCTGCGGCGCGACGGCGAGGCAAAAGGGGGAGGAGAAGGATTGGAAGAAAGTACGCACTCCCAGACACGCACCGTTTCGTTCCTGATCCTGACCCGGGCGTTGACCATATGTGCCACCCTCATGCAACGCGCCCGCCGTCTATGCGCCATTCTCTGGAACTTGGCGGCATCCCACGCACCGCGCGTCCTGTGGAACCATCGTCGCCCTTAGCTCTGAGGGACTCGTGCACGCGCACCATTTCCCCAATGGTGACTGGAACTATTTCCGGTCCGGAGTCCGGACGGCTTCCACGACTCCCGCTTCTCACAGCCCGACATATTCTTCTCCTCTGCGTCCCGCCTCCAGTTTCTCGAGATTTTGGGGAGTGGGACGTGCGTGAATACATGGTCCGTCCCCTCTTCCGACCCTCCGCAACGCCAGGAGCCCCTGCTCGCGCACCCCGGTCGACTCCCGAGCTCTTCCATCTCTCTCTGCATTTCTCTGCCGCTGTCCCTCGCGGCCACGCGTCGAGCATCGCCGAGGTGAGCACCTGGTGCGCGGAGCCCGCATCGTCGTGGTGTTCCGCCCACTCACGCTCCAGTTCGCTGAGGCCGTCCCGTCGATCCGCGTCGTTGAGCGAGGTAGGGAGGAAGCAAAAAGCCTTTGGATACAATGCGGGTACATGAAATGGTGGATTACGTGGACCAGCATGCGCTCCTCCAGTGTCTCGTAGGTACACACTGTCATTACCTAGTAGGAAACTGTGAGCGCATCAGGTCGATTGCTTAAGTGGAAACAACAGTGCACGTACATTTGAGTCTGTGAACGAGAATACGGGCAAAGTACAGCTCTTCAGAATGTTTCTCTACTCCGCGCTGCCCGCGTCCTCCATCGCCCATGAATTGTTTCCTGTGGCCGGTAGTGAATATTTTACTACTCTCTCAGCTTTGTATTCGTCCTCCGCACCTGAGATGTGGGATTCTTCCAAGCTCCGTAGATCAGCCCCGATGGATCCCATAGCGTCCACCGCGAATCGCAGGGACCCGATTCCGAACTGGAAGTCAGAGGCAGACGAGTGAAGTGGATCGTCCGAGCCGAGCTTGGCTGCCCCCTGATGAACCTCCTGCAGATCTAGGAGAAATCGCGAGACCAGGATTGTAGTAATGCTGCAATAAAAGATATGAGAATGCGCCAGTGCTAGAACTTACGCTACAAGCTATACTTACGGATCGCTGATATTTCCAATCAAGGAGAATTGACCGGGGGATATGATCTGGTACACATCAAGCTAGAGATAAACGGACAGGACATAGCATACTATATCGCCTACCCCTCTCAAAGCGGTTGCCATGCGGAGAGTGTTGAAAATAAGAAAAACACTGCGCAATAAAACACGAATTAGACAAGAGTTCGAAGGGAATTCTGCAAAACGTACACGAAATACATGGCTCCTGTGAACGATTCATAAATCAGCATGTTTCCAGAGATATAAATTAACGGACCGTTGTGTAGCATGATGTTGGTGAAGGTTCTCGGAGAACTAGTTACCCCGTTACGATTTAGTGTCATTCCCGAAGAGCGAACGGTTTTCCAGGTTAAAAAGATAACAATTCCGTCTGCGAGGATCAGCAATGACCGCGAGAGTACTTCCCCTGAAGCAGATCGATCAAGCACTGCTGTTGAATATGCCACTACCAATAAATCCAAGAGTACGCACCACTGCATGATCGGAGGTATTATAAATCACAGCTACATCACTTCGAGAGCACACTCACGTTACCAGAACAGGCCCAGGGATTGGAAGGTCTTGAATGAGGCAACCCCAAGTCGGATCGCTTATGCCCCACATCCGATACGGAAGAGAACTCTGCTTGTGAGAGCCATATTACGAGCCTTGTAGATGGATAAGTGAAGAGTTGGCACGCACAAAATCGAAGCCTATATTCACGATGGAAAATACCAGCACCAGGATTGCGAGTGGGCGACTTTGACTCAGCGCTAATGCGCGCATTGCGGAGAATGCTAACAGATAGCCGTGATTACTATCAAGTATTAGGAAGTGCCATAGTACATACCTGCAGGAGGAAGCAGTTGTATGTATCCCAAGACGATAGTGATCAGGCTCAATATGGTGCAACTGTTGCGCACAAACTTGAGCTTGGGAAAGAGGTTAACAGCATTATACATCGAACTGACGTCTGAAAAGCACAGGAAAGTGAGTGTCGACACCCAAGGGAATTCGATGAATACACACCTGATCGGGAAATGGGTGGAACTCAAGGGATGACGAAATTTTGGACATAAGGGGAAGATAGCGATTTAGGATGAATAGTAATGTCGGGCCGGACACGCGGCGGTTCCAGAAGAAATCGACCTCTCGGCCGAACGTAAGGAGATGGTCGAAGATGAGGATGACTTGTAGATATTAACCTCTTTCCAAAGCTCATATGAACAAAATACTGACCAGTTGCAGCGACAGACACGTAATTCTCCGCGTAACTAGTGATATGGCCAAACCAAGGAGGTAATGAGAAGGGATTTCGTTTCTGCAGAATTGGACGTACATGTGTTGGGATTCTCCTATCACTTGTGAAATTTGGTTACCGAGGTTTTCCGTTGACATTGTGCTGTGGGGGGAGGATGGTGTGAATGTCGTAGATCTACTTATTATACGAGGCCTTGCGGAGCGCCAGACAATGATACAATTGATCAGTTATACCACGACGACAGCCGCGTTCAGATAGTGCATCGTGCCAGTGTCTCTGGGGACAGCCAGGGATCAGATAGTGAACCACCGCCGTGCTCACTGTCCGAAAGCTGTCACCAAGCACGGAACATTGACGAAACACCTCTGCGGTGTTCGGGCGCGGGATGGGAACCCTGTCGGAGCTCTGGCGATGACACGGGTCGGCTTCTGGCAAGGCTCCCACGCTTACAATGGGTCGCCCGCACTGAGGCACGCTCCGCCGCATGAGCTCTACTTCTTCTCGCCAACACCACCAACAAAGCGCGATGTCCGGAAAACTATCGGAAAGACTCCTGGACGAAGAGTGCATCGGGATCCATGACATGAAACCCTGGCCCTTCCTCTCAGTGACGTCCTTCTCGCTATCTTCTCCCTCCTTGGCCCCGACGATTCTCGAGTAGTTTCAGGCAGCCTATGCCGCTCAAATGTCCCCGCGGTTTGCATCTCCACCAGTTCCCTCCGGGTACCCCCCAGGGGCCTCCGAGCCCCGCAGCATTGATATCCGAAGCTTCGAACTTTTGATCGCACTGGGCCACAGGCCCTTTCAACTGCGCTTATTTGAAATCGTAGTCACAGCGAGCGACTGCAACGTGCGTGACTACGTGGTAGGTCTCCTCGGTCTCTCTCGCCACATTCGAGTCGCTTTCCCCATGCTGATTTATTCCCTCGGTCGCCCGCATCACTAACACAGGATCCACTGCTCGTCGCGTTTCGAGCCACGCCGCTCGTCCACCTCCCGCTTCATATCCCGCCTCTCCTGCGGTGGTGCCAGATCGCGCCTCGCACAGGCCGTCCATTGGTCTGCATCTCGCGCCATTCTCCTGCCAACCCCAGTCCACCGGCTTTGTTATCGAGTGCGCACGCGCGGGGTTCTCGGAGCCCACTTGCCTGCTGCCAGAGCTTGTCGCGGAGCTCGAACGCGAGGATGACGTCGAAGGGCAGCGGGGTCCGACCAGCGAGTTCGTCGACCCAGGCGTGCGCCAGCTGTGGGCGCTCCAAGAGGAGATTCCGCGCGAGGAGTGGTCGTCGTAGATCAAGAACAAGGGGGTCTCGCCGTCGATACCGGTGGAGATATGGCGGGAGGGCGGCGAGCGGGTGTAGGACTTGATCCAACGCCCGGACTTTGATCGGAGAAGACACTCGAGGGTGAACATATAGACGTTTCTGTTCCTGGATGTGTGCGCGCGGTCGCGAATCAGCTCTCTGCAGGATTTTGTCCTGCCAGGGTTCGCTATGAGCGGTAGCTTGACACGGCGGTCTGCGCTAGTCTACGCTCCACCTTCGATGACCACATGCGCGTCACGCATCGATACAAATCGTTCTAACCGCTTCATGAGCGGTATCCTGGCGCATGACTTTGAAAGCGAGTCGCCGCAGAGAACTGTCTATGGTATCTGTTCAGGAGTCGTCAATGACCTTGCCCAATCGCCCTGTCGTTCCACTATCCAGTGAGTGGTGGGCCGGGCCCGAAATCGTGAAAGGCATGGAACTACGCACAGCCTCAAACTCATAGGAGAGACTCGTTTCCATTCCCCACACCAAGACGTCCATCTGCGGCATCGAGGGAGACGTGTCACTCGCAAGTACTGCGCGGGTGGGCTCCGTGATATAGGAAGCCGGTCGAGCACCCGATCCCCACGGAGAAGCACCGCCGCGCGGCATGTCCGCTCTCGCAGTCCGAGGTCGGTGTGAGAAAGCTGTACGTAGTGATAAGTCCGCATCGCCTGGGTACAGCACCTCAAGTCAGCACTGCGTCCTGATCGCACCCATCTGAAGACTCACCGGATCGTGGACGAAGCGTGGCTCATGGACGTATATTTCGCGTGCGCGGCCCGCATCAGACAACCTATCTCGAGTCTCGCATTGTGCACAGTGCAAACGCGCAGCAGACCGGCCCGGCTAATCAAACCTGCAGTCGCGCACGAGAAATGCGCAAACCTCCAGAGATTTACTACAAGCACTTCCAGTATTGTTCGCGGGAGAAATTACGAGGCAACTCACTCGTCAGCGTCGTCGCCGTGTCAAATATCCACCTTTGACGAGCTCGGCAGGGAAGAGCTGGATGAGAGCGATGCGGCAGACCCCGCTCATGCACAGTCCGTCGCGATGGGAGGGTAGCGCAGCGAAAATGGGTGCCAGAAATGTGACTCAGACACGGACGAGCCAAGGACTCACGGCGATGCTTGATGGTGACGTCTGGTTGACGAGGAGGGCCGTGCGCTGGAGCGCACATGAACGCACGGATGGAGTGTTGCTGTGCGCCGTCTTGGACGAAGGAAATTTGATGGAGAACGAGGTGGGGTGAGCGTAAAGTGGCATAATGTAGGCTCTACGGGGCTCCGCCGCCCCTGACCTTCCGCCACGAAGCGCAAGCCCGAACCCCACCTGCTTGGGGTCGTCCTCACGATAGAAATCCACATCCAGTGCAGTGGGAATGTCCAACAACTCCAGGCAGCCCGCGTGCGTCGAAGCTGGGGCCCAAGCTGGCGTGGTGAGAGCGCGACGACGGGGAGCGACGGGGACGCGGCGAGACGGGCCGCACCGGAAGTGAGAGCGGTAGGCCCTCGTGGCAGGGTAGCCACCGACTCTATGCATGCTGGACGCACATCCGCGGGCGAGGGTGGGCGGGCAGATGGGCGAGCTGCGTAAACTTCATCGCAGCAAGCAATGACTCCTGTAGCACGATGAAGATCAGCGCGCGGAAAGTGGGACGCAGAGGGGAGTCGGAACGTGAACATACCATGTACTCAGGCGTGTTACAGTCGCTGTTTGCGCCCACACCTTCGAGCGAACGGAACTGCAGCGATAACGCGGCGGATGTACGGAGACGGGGGGAGAGACATCGGTGTCATGCTGTGGTCACTTCCCAGAACAAGGCTGCCCCAGAGAACAGCCTCATGAATGTCCAGACCGAGTACAGAGAGGAACCGCAGAGGGCGACGAGCGAACACTCACCGTTCAGAGCCATCGCGGAGTCGAACTCCGCGCACTTTCCCTACGCCTCTCGACCACGAACCGCGCTCCGCGAGTGCCGTCGTACCACTACCGTCTCTGGTCCTGAAACACGCTGTGTGTTCGCGCCGCCCGCAGAGATACTTCCTCTTCATCTGGGGTGTGTACTGCGTCACCGCCTCGTTCTTCGAGTAGCCGTGGTATACCCGTTTGCCGTTCAAGTCCTTGTGTACCGGTGAGCGTGGACCGTGTGACTCGTCTCAAACAAGTCTTGAACCGACGGACAGACATTTCGGAAAGGTTTTAGTCGCGAGACGAGACTGGGTGAACAGCGAATACAATGAGGAAGAGGACGGTGAGCTGCGTTGCGCGGGGCTGGGCAGTCATTTTGTGCCCTGATGTGTCAGCGCTCCATGAGATAAGATTAGATAGGGAGGGTTGCGGAGGCGTAGACGCCAATTACAGCCTCGAGGCCAGGTTCGACGTCTGCGCACGATGCACTCATCCCTCCCTCTTTCCCTCTCTGGTCCCTGTTATTTATACCCTGCGGGTCAGACGCAGCCGGGGTACCAGCACTAACTCCACACGCAAGTTTCCGTCTCGGACCATCCGGGAGTACGTGCGGCACAGAAAATGAGCCCCATCTCCCTTTTCTCTCTCCACGACGACGTCCTTCTCGCGATATTCTCCCTCCTGGGCTGTAAAGATGCGCTCGCGACTTCTTCAACCTCCAGGCACGCGTAATACCTTGCCATAACCCGCGTCTTCGCCAACGTCTACTGGGACAGAGACCTTGAAGTGGACGAGCAGGACGCCTCCGAAGCCCGCGCACTTTCGCGGTACATGCGCGCACCAGAGCCGTTTTACCAACTCCCCCGCGTCCAGCACCTCCGCCATTTCACCCTCCACTACTTTTGTGACGTCGATGTTCCTCCTCTGCGCAAACGTCTCAGCCAGACCTCCAACCTCCGCACCATTGACATCCACAACTTCGAGTTCTTCACAGAGACAGACCGGGTCATCGTAAAAGCTATCGGTGTCATGCACAAGCTCGAGCAAGCAAGCCTCATAGATGTCGGCCCTGAGACGGTGTCTTCTCTGTCAGAGATGCTGTCGAGTCGGCACTTGACCTCATTGACTCTTGAAATCGACGAGGTGTCCTTCAGGCCTGGTGGCATCGCCCTCGAGGACCTCGTGTCTGGCCTCGCCTCCATGCAGAGCTTAGGGCCTGTTCGGTAACCTGACACCGGTCGCGTAATACCGGTATTACCTGCCAGAAACAGCCCGCAAGCGCCAGAGAGCGGTCGTAATCGCTGAGAGCGGTGTTTGTTCCCGCGGGCAAATAGCGGTCGTACGCGACCGGTGTCGGGTTACCGAACAGGCCCTAAGCACCCTCTCCCTCGTCTCGTTCTTCTTTCCGACGGATCCGCTCAGACTGCCTAATGCAACCCAAACCATCCTTCCCTCCATTCGCCACCTCTCTTTCTGCTGCCATTTTCAGATCCCCCTTGGGATCATCACCCGGTGTCCAAACGTCACCACCTTGTATCTTCGGCTGATTGCGGGGCCTGGAGGGCATCCGACCGAATCTGTCGCTCATATCGGCACCTCGCGGAGTAGAATCCTGCAGACACAACCGATCAGCGCGAGGCGAGCACACCCACGTCGAGCACTCTGAACGCTCACCATCAAACGTCTTCGTCGCGTCAAAGTCAGCACGCTCGACGAGCCCCTCCGCCCGCTCGCCGTCCTCCCGCCATATCTCCACCGGCGTCCGCGCCGCGCCCTCGCCTTTGACCCACCACCACCGCCAGTCGCGCGGTATCTCCTTTTGTAGCTCGCGCAGCCTCCGCAGCGCCGGGTTCACAAACTCGCCCGTCGGGCCCCACCGCCGCTCGACGTCGCTCTCGCGCGCGAGCTCCGCCCTCAGCGCCGGATCCAAGTCCTTGCACCGCGCCCGCGCCTGCCCAGTGTCAAACCCGGAGGACGCGGGCGCGCAAGCAGAGAGCGCGACGAGGCGGAGCGACGGGATGGCCTCGATGAGCCGCATCGGGAGCGAGCGGAGGGCCTCGACGCGGCGGACTTCCGCCGCGCGCCAGTCTTCCACCTCGGCGATGCTTGACGGGTGGCACCGTCGTTCGCGGGGCGGAAAGTGCAGGGAGACACTTATGAGCGACGTCGATCGGAGTGCGGTGAGCAACGGGTCCTGCAATGAGCGACGCTCGGGATCAGCGGGGGTGCGGGGAACGCGGAGGGGGCGTACCATGTATGCACCCACGTCGCACTCGCCCTCCTTGACGACGACCTCGAGCGAGCGGAGCCGCGACTCCGGGCTGAACACGATGGCCCAAACCCGGCCGGCGTCGGCCATGTTGGGTTTTGTCTGAAGCTCGAGGCCGGTGGGCCGGACCGCTGCGAGAAGCGGGAGGAAACCACCGAAGACTTCCGTGCCGGAGATCGGTGAGTTCACCCCTAACGCGAGCAAGTCGATGTGCCCGATGCGTCTGGAGGTGTTTGTGCTGATAAGAACAGGCTTGGGAAACTGGAGTTCCCTGAGCGTGGCGGGCCATCGATCTTCATCCGAAATCGAGAATATCACCGGCGCGGTGTCCCTGGCGCCCTGTTTATACAGCAAGAGCGACAGCGTGGTGATGTTGGGGCACAACGACACGATGCCAGGAGGGATCTGGGGAGACAGCAGAAGGAAAGGTGTCGGATTGAAGGGAGCTTGGTGCTGTTTGCGCTAGGTAGCCGAAGAGGATTGGTGAGAACGGTATACGAGATTATGGTGAGGGTGTGCAAGTTCGGCATGGCCGCGAGAGTGGAGACGAAGACGTCGAGGTCGATGGTGTTAGGGTCGCCGTAGTAGAGTTCGTCAAAGTCGAGTTCCAAGGTCGTGAATGCTGGGCTCGAGAACATAGTGGGAAGGGCAGCAATCGTTTCGGGACCGACATCAATCAAGCGCGCATTCTCCAGGTTGTGCATCGCACCGAAAGCCTGGATGAGGGGTGGGTCAATATCGATAAAGTACTGGAATTGCTGAATGAAGATGGTGCGGAGGTTGAAGGCCTGGCTGAGAAGTCTCCTTAGAAAAGGGACTTCGGCTTCGACAAAGTGGTCGAGGGTGAAATGGCGGAGATGCCGCACGCGCGGGGTTTGAGTCAACGGGGCGGGTTCCTGCATGCGCAGCTGAAGTGCGTGGGCTTCGGAGGCGTCATTTTCGTCTACATCGTAGTCCCTGCTCCAACGCAGTTCGGTGTACGCGCGGGGTATGGCGAGGCGATATGCGAATCTGGAGGTGGACGATGCCGCGAGAGCATCGTTGGGGCCCAAGAGGGAGAAGATTGCGAGAAGGACGTCCTCGTTGAGGGAAAGCAGCGATATAGGGACCATCTTGGGTAGCTGTGAGAACGGAACGAGGGAAATAGGAAGAAGTCGATGCACTCACAGTAAGGGCACTCGGCGGTGACGTGGCAGCCTGTCGCGCGAGCGTCGAATCTCGAGTGGCTGTGGCGATCCTTTGCTCAGAAAGAAACGAGATGTTCACGGGACGGCCGGCCTTGAATCTTGAGGCTTGAGTACATGCAACGGAGGTCTGGGAAGACGACGGGAGCAGTCAAGGTGGCGATCCGCACCCCGGGAGTCTGTTTGTGTATACGCCAGCAACGCCCATCAATGACCTGCCTAGTCGTTTGAATGAAATCGAATGAGAACGTACCAAAACGAACGCGCTCAAGGGTTCACTGGACACCTCATCCAGAGACCAACAGTAGAACCTGCATAAGAAGCCGCACTGCTGTTGTTATGCGTGCGATAGTATTAAGAGGAGGTCAAGGTCGAAGCCGACTTGGAAGTGGCGGAGTCCCTCGGAGTCCAGACCTGTCCAGGCGCGCTCAAGCGCCAACGCGTCTTGCTCCCTCCCGCCACCAGCGGTACCACTCGCCCGCTCCCCGCTCGATCTCATCCAGCGTCCTTTGACATAGGATTCTTGGGCTTTCTCCTTCCACCTCTTCGCCCTCTCCTGCTCCCGCTTTGGCAATGTGGTTTCAGCGTCCGCAGTCACCAGCAAGACCCGAGCCTCGGAGGACCTACAAACCGCAAGCGGTGGTTGAAGGAACTAGGGGAGGCCCGCAGTGGAGATAGAAGGTGTGCGGTGTCAGGGAAGGTGGATATTTCTGCTATACTGGTCTGTTGTCGGCCAAAGGAGATTGTATACGCTGTTCCAATGGTACGCATTTGCTCTGGACGCTCCCCCGCCATCTTTCGATCCTCGCTGCACACACACGAAAGCATCCCCCGCTGTGAATACTGGGACACACAGGTCGATCAAGACTCGCCTCTCCCCCCCTCCCATCCATACGCCTCCTTTCCCTCAACGAATTCGTCCTCTTTGCGATATTCTCCCAGATAGATTCCCCCGATGCTCTCTCGGTCTCATACGCATCCCACCTCGCCTACATACCACTTCCCCATATCCCCATGTCTCTCAGAGCATGTCCTTGTACGAGGATGCGGATGAAGGCGAGGTCGATGACTTCAAGGCGCGGCACTCTGCGAGCATATCTATGGACGTGATTCAACGTCTCGAGTTCCCCGCAACCGCCATCCCCGTCCGCCATTTTGACCTACACTTCTCCCAGTCCGTCGATGCGCTGCACTTTGCTGCCCTCTTCCTCCGGTCCCCCATCTCCACACCCTCTACGTCGAGAACTTTGAAAGGCCCCTCGCCTGGGACCGACTAGGGAATAGCACGGGTACGGGTAACCCGCGCGGGTCGCGGGTACGTACCCGTGCGGGTCGGGTAAGGGTACGGCTTCGTGTACCCGTGCTTGACCCGCACCCTGACCCGTACCCGCAAAGTCAGTGATGAGATGCGAACCATGTGAGGTGCGCAAAGGAGGATGCGAGCTCATTGGGCTCGCGCCGCGGGGAGTCAACCCAACGCGGAGGAGGCGGCGGACGACTCGGAGCTGCCGGCGGGACTCGGACGAAAGACGCGTCGGCGAGGCTGAGAGTGTCGGGTCAGCGAAGAGAAGTGGGCAGCGCGTTGAGGGCGAGGGAACACGAGGCGTATCACAGAAGGCTGAAATGCGGAGGGTGGTGGTGGCGGCCTGACAGCCTGCAGCTGAGCAGTGATACTACGCACGCGTCGCCGCTCACGCTAGCGCCCACGTTCGTTTCCGCCTGGCCCGTACATCTGGACCATTCCGCCTCGCGCACGTATCAAGATCCGCCCGCGAGTACCCTAGGAAATTCGTGGTAGCATACTCGCTAAGACGCGACGCACACAGACGCACCGCGGCGCCTTCCGTGCACTCCTCGCGGTCTCCACTGCGCGCACCCAGTGATCATTGGTCACCCGCGGTGCTTCCGCTCGCGATTGCACCCCGTAGACCTCCTCATACATCATGAGACATATTTTAATCTATTTTCTGTCCATTTTTTTTACTCCTGTACCCACTTCCTTCGTCCCAATTCCTTCTGTCTAGGGCGCCGGGTCTCATCCACTCATACACACTCTCTCTTGAGCCTCTTCCACCATGTTTCTCACGTCCCTGCCTCATATACTGTGTCTGATCTGTATGTTTTCGAGTACATCAGGAAAAACCCAAATCCCTATTGAGAGGTAAGATATTGGTAAGCCGATATACCCCGGCATACTGTCCGCTGTCCCAACTCACAGACACTATGTCGAACTATCGCCTTCCTAATGGTATAATTTAACGTGTTTGAGTGGGTGTAGTGGATATCTGTACATGTGGTTAGCCAATAATGATACTTTCGTCTGGATCCTGACCAGTATACAATGATCCTCCGCTGCTCACACATCAGAACACATAGATGGATCACAGATAAAACTGTTATTGGTTCATGGTTTAAGTATTAAGACAACCTTGCCTCGTGCAACGAATGTGATCACAGCCCGGGCGAGGTGGGTAACGAGAGGGGCATTGCAGCCCGACGAGTAGACCTACTTACTAGTGCAGATCCAACAGTGCGTGAGCGACGCGGGCGCGGTGATCACGGCGTTGCTCGCGGAGTGCATGTGCGGCACGTGTTGGGCGTATACAGGTGGTGCGGAAAGCTCAGCCTTGGGGGCGCCGCGCGGTTGCACTGCGCGTGGGGATCGTCGTGCGAGGACACGTGGGGGCTGTACGTCGCGCCGTCGGGAATGACCACGCCCGGGGCGAGCTGGGTGTAGGTGTTGAACGTGCCGTCACGGCTAAAGCGCTGACGACGATCGTAACAAGAGGGAAGCAGCCGTCGCACTCACTGAAGAAGCCGCACATGAGCGCATTGACATCGTGGAGCGTCAGAAACTCTCACTCACCCAGGTGCACCCGCGAGTCGATGACCACATCGCGCTCGATCTTCGCGCCCAGCATTTGGTAGTAGAGAACCCCGGCTCGGAGGGAAATGAATATGCAAACCGAACGGGGTCGATGGGAATTTGCGAGGAGCTCGCACTGTACGGTGGGGTAAGTACCAGCGTGGATGGTGGCGGGGCTTTGTCAGCCAAGTGGAGAGCGGTTGCTGCGTCTTGTTTGTGAACACAGGTGCTAGCGCAGATGGCGCGACGATGTAAGGGGTGGTGGAAGGCATCGGTGATGGCGCAGGTGATGGGAGAACGTACGAAGAATATGGCCCGGAGCCTGTGAAGTCGCTCCGGACCTTTTTCCCGAACTCCTTGAGGGCTGAGGGCTTAATTTTGAGCTGACGCTGGAGGTAGGAGCACATTTACCGCTCCATCTGGTTGGTCTCACAAAGCGCGAACATACCTTGGCCGACGATGGTATTGTAATAGGTGTCGTCACAGATAGCCGATGAACTGACAACCTTCGCGCGCGGGGAAGCGGAATTTCGGTCGTTGAAGGAGGTAGAGGGAGACTAAGGTGACGGAGGTAGTAGTAAGTACTGTTAGGGACGACTCACGAACGCGTTGAGGATGCGATCACGGGACACGGCGACTGGTCGCCACACTAGCGCCCGTCGCCAAGGCGCGACGCGCGTCCCGAGGCTCGACGTTGCCAGCTGTGTCCACCATCTCCGCCTCTGTCTTCTCGTCCTCGTCCTCGATCCTCCTCTCTCAAACTCCTCGCCGTCGTTTTCTCCGTACCCAAGTCTCAGACCTCCACCTCGCCCACATCACCAGCCATACCCTCACACCCTCTTCTTTCCCCTCAATGGCCTTGAGGACGATAATGAGCCCTAGAGCTCTTTCTTCGCCACCGTACGCCCCCGTAGGTACGTCTTGCGCTTCCGTAGGTTCCCTTAAGAGGCTGCTAATCTGCCAGGTCGATTTCATTCGCGCTACTGTTGACGTCCACCCCTCCGCCCGAGGCCAACGATTCGTCGATCGCGGCGGACCATCCGCCTATCTTGGGAATCTGTGAGTGCTCCTGTCGCAATTCCCCGCCCGTGCCCCTGTTCACCGCTGTGTACTGCCGCTGCATTTGGAGAGCGCAGCGAGTGGTGTGTCCGCTTTCGTCTTGCGCTCATTTCGTGCCTGGCAAATATCCAGAAGGGCAGGGCTCGCTCTGGATTTGAAGAGTACGATGGACGGATCGAGGCGCGATGGTTACGGTGCGTCCCCGCTAGTTTCTGTCTTGAACAACGCTGACGAAAAGCACGACCCGGACGACGCATGCGGCAAGCCTGAAGGACCTGGTTATCGAGTGGATGTGGTTTGGGATCACAAACATCGTTATCACCGGTGAGGCAGTATACTTCCGTCCCCTCTGCTTTGCTGATCCGTTCTCTCCCCCATGCATGCCCTCACACACGCATGGTAGAACCCCATGTGATACGAGCTGGCCTAGCGCAAGTGCGCGCTCCATGGCCGTGTCCGCCCTGGGACGTCATTGTCATCCACATTTACGTCCACGTCCTGCCAGCGGGTGGAGGAGACAGCCGCACCAACGTCCTACTCACCGTCTTCCGCGCGTACGCCCTCGGCGAGTGGACGGCGTTTTGTGGCATGTAAGCGTGACTGCACACACGGTCTCGCTCCAGGACACGTTCGTAGTCTCCACGGTCGACGGCCCGCCTGCTGCTGCCCCTGGCGCAGAGGCGGGAGCAGGTCCAGACGCAGACGGAGGAGGGCCGGTTCGTTCGCCGTCGAGTATGGTGCGCTCGATGTGGTCCCCCGAGAGGACCAGTAGATGAACGGTGCGCGAAAGGTGCTGCTGGCGTGCACACGCCGGGTTCAGCCCTCCCCTCGTTAGTACACGGCTTTTTCGTCTTTGTATCCATTCTCCCCGTGCACGCATTCTCGGCCACGCACTTCTCCGTCGCTACGCGTGCACCTACGGCACTGTTCATGTTACATCATCGCTAGTTGATATGTACATCTATATCGCTGTAGCTAGGTACTGGTCTGGATCTCAGATAAT